CGTGCATTTCTTACAGGTCGAACTGGTTGCAGAACTGAGAGAAACCACTTTCTCCCCTTATTTCTTGCAATTGGTTAAATTCACCCGAAAGACTGATGACAGGGAAGAGATTTTGCATACCTTCTTGGCACAAATCGACCCTGCTTTTTTGGGGGATTTCTCCTTCCTACATACAATGAGGAGATAGTTGATGTCCTCTTGAGGAGCTGGGATTGTCGAGTGAAATTGGGTTAATGTTGTTGTAATTCTAGGGATTATTATTATTCGAATGTGATAATGTGTTGGTGGAACCAGACGAGCTTTTGCCTTTTTTCTTGGTTCTATAAATTACTGCATACAATTGATTTAAATCTACACGAAGGTGGTGAATGGACCGGGAGAAGCAGGAGGATTCCTAGAAATTGAAATGGGGGAGCAGTTAATTCAAGACTTTTAACTTATGAATGGAAGGATTGTCAAAATCTGCACATTTTTAATCACTACTTTGCTCTGGGAAGCGAGCTTAAAATTCTGAGCGACAAATTCGTAGTCAGTATGTTGATTAAAAGAATGGCGGCGATGTTTTTGAGTCAGTTTCGACGAGTTACAATTTTTCTAAACTTGAACTCTCTTTAAAAAACTGTCAAAATCTGGAGTGTGTATTTTTTTATTTGACAAAGACTTACAGTACAAGTTTGTCGTCCAAAATTGTAAAACAAAATCCCAGATCCAAGAAATAATTAAAACTGTGCTTATTTTGGCGATAGGTCATCAAGTCATACATACATACCTCTTGAAAACTGTTCACTAAAGTTAACGGTACGTCAACATCCTGTCACTGCAATGTTTGGAGGATGGATGGCAAATTTTGTCCTCGACTTGGAGCAGGAGTGACTAAAGGAGAAAATGAGACACAATTTTAAGTTTACTTTTAAAAGGAGCATACCTATACATATGTACATACATATGTATGTACATATTTAATTATTAACGTAGGACTGGATGAATTATGACCACAATCTTCAAAATCATCGCATTTTTAATCATTTCTCCTCTCTGGGAATTTGTTTTAAGTCTAAATTTGAGAACCAGGTTGTGGTAAATTTCGTAAAAAAATAACGCTCGCAAATTTGTCGTCCAGAATTCTAAGATAAACTCCCAGAGGAGAGAACTGACTAAAATTGCGTTTGAGTTTTTGATTAAATAAGTTAGTTACGAGTCATACGTAGATTAATTAATTTTGAAATAGTGTCGAACATAATTGTAATTTTTGAAATATGTACTTTTTAGAATTAAAAAGAACAAATTTTACCTGTTAGTTTAGAATGATGAAATTAGAACTTTACTTTACTTTAGTTTAGAATGATGAAATTAGAACGGTATGTTTCAATTGTATGCCCCTTCCAATTCACTAGATATATTTTTATGTAACTTTAACAAAATTCTCAGAAATATTGGAATAAAATATTTTTCGGTTTGGAATATTTGGCGAGAATGATGAGGAAATGGGGAGGCAAGGCGTGGTCGTGCGCAAAAAAGCATGAAAAAACGGACATAAAAAATGTGGTGCATTCGCAGTCAACATCATTTTGCCATCCATAACTCCGCAATCTAAAAAAAATTTTGAGACAATTTAACAGGGTTGGCCAAGATAATTTAACAAGATACGAGATATCAGATATCAGATACAAGTTATATCTTGTATCTTGTATCTTGTGTAACGGAGTTTATCTTATCTTTTATCTTGTATCTGAACGTTTTTCAAACAGTATTTTGTATCTTGTATCTTGTATCTGGAGAATTTATTTCAATCATATTTTATTTGAAATACTAGTCAAGATACAAGATACTTTTTTAGTGAAAAATCTGGAAACTTGCATATTTGGTAGTATTAAAACTTGGAATTATGAAGATTTAAAAAACTCAGTGTGCAGCTTTACCGAGCCGGACGCAAGGTTCTGTTGTATAACGTCGTAATATTTATTTATCCACAGTAAATAAACCCTCGCACGTTGGCAAATTTTGTAATTTGCATTATATTCCTAATTTGTACCACCATTAGAGCAATTATTTCAAATTTCAACTGAATATACTAGTAATAATAATTTCAGTTCCATAGAATAATTTTAAAAAATCAGTATGGGTCACCACAGATGAAATCCTCATATTTGTTTATAAATTGTAAACAGGGACTTGCATTATAAATTACAATGCCAGTTATGAGTGGTATACTATCATTATTAACAAGTTACTCGGCTACAATACAAAAAATCAAGTGGTGCTTCGTTATTTCATGTTTTTTTTGCTAGCTCCGAATAATTTATCTTGTATCTTGAAAAAATTATTTCAAATAAATATCTTGTATCTTGTATCTGGGATCACAGCAGATAAAATTTATCTTGTATCTTGTGTAACTCTAATTATTTGTATTTAGTATCTTGTATCTTGGGTTTCGTTCAAAATATTTTGTATCTTGTATCTTGTATCTTTGAAACAAAATATCTTGGCCAACCCTGCAATTTAACCCTTTTTTAAATATTTATGCAAATTTTTATTCTATGTATGCCTAAAATAAGCCAAATTTTGACAAATTTTACTTCTCTCATGACAAAATATGACCATGGGAATTTGTATTTCTATCCAGCACAAGAGAAAATTAATAAAATTGAATGATCAGTATCAGTACACAAAAATAATGCCAGCTATAATTTTATTCAAGGTACATACATAAATATACAATGGAAATTAATTGCATGCAATTTACAACTAGTGTTGCAATGCATGCATGCACCTGGATTGGATGCCGGAGAACTGCCCAGTGGGCAGTGGCGCAAGAATTGGACTTGGCTATCTTGCCTGTATGTGCACCACTCAGAATAATGGAGTACGGTCATGTCATGAATTAAGTGTGGCAGGCCGAAGAGATTTAAATTTATTCATTAAGTAAACTTGGCAACTTTGCGAATTTTGATTTTCATGCAAAATTTAAATCCCAAATTAATTTGAATTTGTTTCATCACAGATGCAAAATTGAACAACCTTTAACTCGGCACGAGTTCAATAAAATTGATTCCACTTGAGACAAAAATTGGTCAGGTTTTACAAATTTAATTCCATTATTTATTGATGATAAGATTTGAGTTATTATTGCTCATTTATAAAAACATTGAATTAGATGGAAGTCTGCGTAATTTTTATAATTAAGTAACAAAAATTGTGTTACAAAATGATATCCAATTTGGATAATCCAAATTTTAACATAATTGACGATTTCGCTTTGAAGCATAATTTAAATTTAACTGATTTACATTCCTAATCCATTAATGGTTAACGATGTTAAATGTACATATTCTGGTTTGCAATTTGCAAGTATTTATTCCTATTTTAATTATTTTTAAAACTTGACCTAATTATTTCCAGCGCAGTGGGAACATTATCAGAACAATGGCAGCAAAGCTAATTCATCCTCCGGACGCTGTTTTTCAAGCCAAATTTAACACGGGCTCGGATATCTTGCCTTACGTTGATCGTCAAAGGTTAACTGCATTAACTGCAAATTGCTCAGTAGTTAATTGCAAATTTTAATTGCAGTACACTATTGGCGACACGTACACCTCGTGGGAGACGCTGGAAATCGTGTGTGAGGATGACTCCTACTGGATCAAACCGGTCAAGGTTGGCAGTGTTTAATTTAGTTAATAATCAACTTATCCATTATTAAATTACTTATTCATCAATAAAAATACATAATTTAGCGGGGCGGAATTCTAAAAAACGGCTTAAAGCTGGACGACAAAGTCAGAACGAAGCTAAATTTGGCAACACATTGACCGTCACGAAGCTTCGCAACCGTATTTCTGGTGGACTTGCCAACTTCACGTTTGAGGTAAAAATACACTTCAAAACAAATCACCAAATCGGAGTAATACCTAATTTTGTGATAATTTTAGGAACGACAGTACCCTGAAAATTTGGATACGGATGGGATGAGTATTGACGGCGTTATCGACTAAGAACGCCACCTTCCCGAGATTCAGTCCTTCCTCGTGACACCAGAGATCCCGGAACGTCACAGTGATGCGGATTTTTGGGACACGTACTGCGATCTTATTGACAGTCTGCTTCCCAAGGAAGAAGGACAACGCTGCGAAACTGCAAGATATGGATGTTTTGAGGGATGATGTTCAACCTGAAATGCGTTATCGTCAAGATGTCTGACTGCCGGGAATATTTCCAAATGTTCGGAATGAATGGATGGTCAAACTGGAGGGGAAGATGAATAACTATGCAACTAATTTTGTTCATTGAAATGAATTTATCTGTATTCAATTAGTTAGTTAATGAGATGTTGCCCAATGAACAATGGAGTGTGAGATGAGATTTATGTAATTTAACTCCATTACATTTCATTATTTAATTTATACAGCAGTACTAATTATACAATTGTAATGATAGTATCTAGATTACTAATTGCAATTAAAAAGGGATATTTATCCATAGCTAAGAAATTAAGGTCTGTCAAGAATTTAATGGTTAAATACATAAGTATATACTCATCCATGCAGTTACATGAAAAATCTCACTTTTCCCACGTTAAAATCCATTTTTTTCTCAATTTCTTACCCAATATCGCCCTCATATTCCCAATTTTTGTATTTTATTACGCAAAAGTATAATACCTTTCAGATTTTATCGGGTTTTCCCAATAATTATCACTAATTCCAATAAAATCGGGGAAAAACAGTGAAATTCAGGGGGAGGGAGTTATTTAGAAAAGCTACGTTTTTTCCCACGATATAAAACTCGGTTTCTCACCCGTTGCTACAATTTCTTTCAAAATTTTTGTGCTACTTGATCCAAACTGATTTTAGGTATCATAATTACACAAAATTTTTCCATTATGTGCTCTATTTTTTATAAAAAATGGTAAAATTTAAAGGGATTGTATTTGCAGATTTACGGTCGCAAAAATACCCCATTGAGCAGGAAGCTCAAATTACTTAATCATCAAGAAAAATAATCTCGAGTCGTGGACGGAAGCAAAGTTTTTTTGACATTGCAGTTAATCAGCTTGTCGTGATTGTCAATGTGAGAAGGCAATTATTATGTATAAGGTTTAATTGGTCGTTAATGCGAGATTTGTCTAGTTCAGGGTTCCGGTATTATCAAGGCCGGATTTGTAGTGACTTACTGTAAAGCATTACAGTTCGTTGCTCGCATCAACTACCGGATTTGCTGGAGATTCCATTCCTAAATGTCGGTTTCCTAATTAGTGAGTGGTTGAAAATACGAGATAACTAAGTTGATAAGCAGTTTGTGAAGGTTTGAGCATTTTTTGAGCCGTGTGGGCCGCCCAAAGCACGTTCGAGTGATGGCCAGAGCTATGGAGGGTGACCTTTTCATCGGTCCAAAGGCGGAAGAGCACAGGGGCCTGTTGGTCATCCAGTATCCGGTGGAACATGGCATCGTCACGGATTGGAACGATATGGAGAGGATTTGGCAATGGGTGTACAGCAAAGATCAGCTGCAAACATTTGCCGAAGAGGTAAAGACAACAAAAAAAAACATAAATCGGTCATAATTTTGAAATATTTGTTCCCAGCACTCCGTCCTCCTCATGGAAGCGCCGTTCAATCCGCGCAGGAACAGGGAGAAGTCAGCCGAGATATTTTTCGAAACGCTAAACGCTCCAGCCTTGTTTTTGTCGATGCAGGCAGTTCTAAGCTTGTAAGAATAAGTGTTAACTTAATTCTATAAGAATTGATAATGGAGGTCTCGAAACACTTGGTCATAGATTTTGAGGAATAATCAATCATAAGTTTAATTAACGTGAACTTTGAAAAAGTCAATGGGTACGTTTGGCAGCGATATTTGCATCCAAAGAGGAGAAACTGCGCCCTAAAGTTGATAAGTCCTATACTTTCCAACTTTACTGCTCGTTTCCTCCTCTTTGGAGGCAAATATCTCTGCTAGACGTGTCTATTGGAAGATGGTGTAGTTTGCAAATTTCGAATTAATCAAATTTACGATTGATTCACACTATTATGCTCAAAATCAGAGAGCATACGATGGGCGACCTTCAGTTTGAGTGATAATCATTTGATTAATGACTAATCCTTTAATTTAACAAAAAAAAAATTGTTTTATTTTGCAAACTTTAGTTTGAATATAAAATCCACTTATTTCTGTACAGAGTAACAATGTCTGTAAAATACATGGTAGTTTTAGATATAATAAACTTCATTAAACTTTTTTCCTGGTGGAAGTGTCCCCAGGAATGAAGCTACATTTCCACGTTGAACTGTAATGCCGAGTCGCTGGAGGAGAAAAGTTGTGGAGCGTGGTTCTCCAGTCGCGGTAGCGATCCGTTGTCCAATCTCTTTAATGAAGGATAACCCCTCCTGACCCCATGTACCTGTCGTCTCAATTGCAACGGGCATAAAGATGAATCGGTCCAGGAGAAAGGCGTACAAGTTTTTCTTTCTATCTTCTGCCTTTGTTGCTGCTGCTCCTTGGTGGCGGACTGTCTCCGGGAGATAACTAGGTGCGAAGGTGTCAGCGCAGGTAAAATCCCACACAAGGGATCTTCCTCTTGCCCACGGAACGAGAGTCATCCCGTCTGGATGCTTTCCGTCTTGGTGTGAACATCCGGGTGGTTCAAGGATGCAGGGAACATCAGCTGATCGAAGCGCCCTCGCGATTACGTCGTTAGCGGCTGCGTGGCGAGACCACCGACCAGCACTTCGTCGGCAGGATAAACCATGATATCCTCGTGAACTGACTTGCGCTCCACACGGGCAAGTGTGGGGTTGACAAACATCGCAACCTAAACGGAGGGAAATTGCGATGCGAAATGCCTCGTTCGAGAGAAGGGTGCCGATTTGAGGAGATGGTAGAGCGTTGAGCCATATTCCTGCATATCTGTCGCGAAGAGCACATAGGCGAGCCGTATCTTCAGACGTGGCTGCGGCGACGACTAAGTGGGACACTGTGATGTCGATGATGGGGCGCTCCCATGCTGTCTGTAATCCTCTCATTGTGTTGGGAGGAAGATTAGTTGGGCCAAGAGAAGTCCATCGTTCCTCTCCTTCCGCAATGGCGGCATCGGAACCATGTAGGTAAACCGGAAGAATTTGTTCCATTAGGGGTTGGGTGCTGTAGACTGACGAAAGAAAGCACGGTATCGCTACATCTTCAGCATGTCTGACCCCAAGGCCACCTTCTTTCACGGGTAGAGAGGACTGCATCCATGCAGCCTCCGAGAGTGAGCAGTTAAGGATCCCCTCCAGGGCGTCCTTGAGTGTAGCGTCATAGAGAGCGAGGGCCTCCCTTTTTCTCCACGACGGTGAGCATCGGAGAAAGTATATTAAACGAGGTATGGAGATAGAAGCTCGGAGGAGGAAGAAAGCTGAGTGGGCAGATATTTTCTTGAGACGTTTGGAGAAAGTTGCCAATTGCTCCGTTTTGGCAGCCAAAACCGCCTCCATGGCTTCGTTGGTAAGAGGAGAACCTAATAATGTTGCATTTTCTCTAGTTATCAGTTGGATTCCTGGGGCAAAATTTTGAAATTCTTGAAAAATCTGGGTGATGGTGTCGTCGTCCGCCCCCAATACTCCAACCTCATACTTGTTGTGGTTGAGATAAAGCCCCACTTCTTCACCCATTCTGGAAACTTTCTCAAGGGCTGCTAGTACCGTTTCCGGGGTGTCTGCGATAGTCCCGTCGTCGAGATACCATGCGTTTAGCTCTGTGTCCAAAGTCTTGATTATGGGGTGGATGACCAAAGAAAACAGAGAAGGGCCCAAAGGGTCGCCCTGATGACAACCCAGAAGCGAAGGGAGAGATGTTGTCCCGAAGAAAAGTGATGACGGGTTAGCGTAGCATTGGGACACGAACGGGAAGATTGATGGAAAATTATCACGAACAGTGTGCAGTAGAGTGTCTCTTCTCACTTCATTAAATGCGTTCCTAAAATCAATTTTAAGGAATGCTTTGGGGGTGTGGTGAGGGTAGTTGTAGTATACACGGGCGGCATGGGCACCGGTCTCAGCGCCACCTTTTATTCCAACGCCTAACTGATGAGGTGAAAAGTGGTCGATAAGTTGGGGGGTAATCTTAGCGAGGATGACCTTGGCGGCGAGTCGGCGCCACGTATTTCCCACCGCGATGGGTCTGATACCCCCAGTCTTCTTCCTCAGCGCCGTGAGAGATGCTCCGTATAATATTGGGCACAGCTTTGCAGGGACTTTTCCAGCAATCACATGGTTGAGGAAATCTGTGATTGCTTACGCGAGGTGTTCTCCTGTCTCCCCCTGATTGCAGCTGAGTAGGTCCTTTAGAATTTGGGGTCTCAAACCATCGAGTCCTCCTGCCGAACCTGGGGGGAAAGTGGATACGGCAATTTAATTTAACTATTTAGGTTTTTAATTTTGGTAAACTAATTATGTATCCGTTCCCCCTGAGGTAATGATAAATAAATATTTGCATATGTTGTCAAAAAGTTGTACAATCACCTAATTTTTTTAATTGGAAGACCACAAAGTTTGAGGGTTGTTTTTTCTCGGTGTGTACATTAATGTGCATATACATAATATAATGCATATAATGCATATAACGTTCAAATAATTGGCCACTTATCATGGATGTTACTTCTGTGAGAAGAAATTCCTACGAATTAGTTAGTTACTCACTCTCGAGTTCACACTTTAGAATGGTTAAAATAAAAATCTATATAACCGGGATATCAAAAAATTTCTGAATTTTTTCTAAATTTACGACCTTTGGGAATACCTTTTGTGGTTTAAAACCATGGAATTCTACTTACTGGACAAGTTTCTATTTCGCCGGAATATGTATATGTTTCGCAAACAGTTTATCCAACGTTGTTCAAGATATGTATTCCAATCTGTGAGTAAATTTTGCACAATTGTTGTCATCCTCGTTTTTGATAAACTTTTGGCAAATTTTACAATTTTTTTTAAAATTTGGAGTGTATGTACATATGTAATGACAGACATATCTGTTTGTTAGCATTATTATGAATTTGATTGTGAAGTAATATGGTAAATTAATACAAATATTTAATTATATATTTACATACATGGATAACTTAGTGAGCATAAATATCAAAATACTTAATATAATTACGAATTAGTGAATAATATCATAAAACACGATATTTGTGTATATATGTAAACAGATGTTAGAATGCATAATAAAATAAAATTAAATTAAAGACATAAATTTAGAAACTGCTCAACTCTTCTAATTCTGAAGTCTGGCTGGATTTGGGACTCGTTTGGTCAGACGTGGCTATCAGAATAAATAGCAAGTTGTTAAACAGATAAAGCAAAATTTCATCCGATATTAAGAAATCAATGATTTTTTAAGGTAGTGCTTTTTACCAGAATCATTCAGAAACCACAAGTCGTACGGATAGCTTAACCAGGAGTCCTGTGATGTACAAGGACGTACCTCGAACATGCCACGTGGAAAGCAGTAAACGTTTCCGACCTAACAATCAACCCAAAAATATTACAAATTTTTAATCGTCATTCAAAATTTTTCGAAAATTCGCATCACAATCATTTAGTCCATTTATATTTAATCTATTACATACCTGGTAATGACTTTTTACCACGTGGTAAACTTTCCCGATCGCTATTGCCACCATTATTGTCGCCCCATCATCCTGCGTCAGCATGAGGCGAAGGAATGGTGTCCGTCGAGCAGGTTCCAAAACTCCCTCCTCCACGCAGCAAACCTCGGCGAGGAAGGTGGATCTGAATTTAAAATTGTACATAAATAAATGCAATAATTAGTACATGTTGAACGAAAACTTAATTTCCCCAAGATTAGATATTATAAGCAACAAATTTTCTATATTTTTAATGAAAACAATTAAAATATCACTCACTCTAGGCGTCCAACGTAGTTTACTTGACGAAAGGTGAAACTTGACTCCATTTCAGAAGAGGTATTCATGTTAATTTATTCGCTAACGTGTAATTTCACAAGTTAATGTGGAGTAAGTATATTTAAGTTGTAAATATTTTAGTTTGGTTTAATTTTTTAATTGTTGCTTGAATTACGCAAATTTACTTGTTAAATTACTTTAAGTCACGTTAAAAATGTGAAGCTGTTTAAAGTGCAGAATGCAAAGTGGTAATGAGAACTGAAGGAGAGAAACGATCACATTTTGAAAGGATTGACCAATGGTGAAGGGTTGAAATTCGACGCTGGAAATAAAATTCCTGGAAATGTTCACCTCGCTTTTTTGTTTTGGTGAGTATTTTTGTAATGTGATCGTGCAACGAATGAGTTCGCCTGGATTAAAAATAAATGTAGTATTTTCCCACTAATTCTAAACGCAGTGCTGGTTAACGCTTGTAATACGTAAGTACTTATTATACGGAAAATAATTATGACTTATGAGATTTCTATTAACGATATTCTTATTTAAAGTTAGCATACACATTTGTGTGTATGTAAATAAGAAATCGTGGAAGTTTGCATACTTACCATTTCCATTTGCAAATATTTAATTGTTCGCGTCTGTGGGCTTAAATCATGCAAATATTGCACGACGCTATGAAAGTATAATTAGACACGATTAATTGGACCATGTCTTTGGGTATATACACGTGGAGAAAAACGCTAGATTTTCCAAAATTTCGGTAAAGAAATGAAATTTTGCTACTGCAGTAGAGGTGAACAAGCGCTTCGAATTGTTTAGGTATTGCATAATTTAACACGGTTTCGTTTGGGTTTACATACATAAATATTTTTCCGTAGAGAACAGAATACGTTGCACTAGGCAAAAAATCAATACGATAACAAAATATGGTGGTAGTGCCGCTGAGGTATTTAAACATACTTTAAATTCATCCAATTTGATTTCTAATGCTTCCTCCCATTCGTAACCCAGCAGTGATAAATAAGTAGTAACTGCCAGTTCCATATTTCAATCCATACCTGTTATTCGTAACACGAAAAACTTGTGAATAAGTAATTTCTTTGGTCGTTATTTTAATATTAGCGACCAAGGATTTACATTTCTCAATCAAATTTGACTACCGCATTCATAAAAATTTATTTGCAGGTTAATTTACGATGGTTCCCGTGCACGGCGATATTGATTTCCTGCTAAATGGTGGAACAACGAGTAAGTTGCAGGCACATTTCCATTCACGTTTTATAACAACAAAATCAAACACTTGGACGACTATATAATTTGTGTAGATCGAAAATTTCAGCATCTAAATACTAGATTTCTTTAGTCCTGAAAATGTTTTCTGAAGCATTCTTACCCTACATAAAATATCAAATTAAAGTCCTCCGACTTTTTAAATGCGTCCCGTTTAATGTGAATTCAAACAACGAAATCATAGTAACTGAGACGAAGAACTTTCAAAAACTTCTTCGTCAATTTATCCAACTTTTGCAATGGAGTTATTTCATCTTCATGTGCAGGAAGGTTTACACTTTGCAAAAAGAAGGCTGCCATTTAAAGGCAATTTCCAGCGCGATGATAGTCGCGTCGCGACTGACCGTACTGCTCTTCAGCTACAACTGGAATCCGAACGTTAAAGCTGCCACGCTGTTTAATGCGCTAGTAAAATTCGATAAAGATTATGGTATGATACATACATAATTTCACGTTTTATATCCATAAACGTCAACTGATTTTCGCAACGAAATAATTTTTTGTTCACAAATTAGTTATAAATATGTTTTTGAAAAAATGATAAAATGATCTGCATTAAATTTATTCTTCACAAAATCTACAACAGGGCACCAGATCCTGGTTAAACAAATATCTGCAAATTCGTTTTACGTTTATTTCATCCAATTTAAAATAAAACCTGAGTAAAACGCCAATAACATAGTAAAACCCTGGGTGTAACTCATTTAAAACCTAGCAAAGCAAACCCTTTAGAGCGTGAAGTCAAAAAAATAGCGTCCTATTTAGATACCAACTTATATATATAAATAACCGTAATTCGTGTCATCATTCTAAATGAATACCAGAATATGTTTAATAAACAACTTATAAGAACACGTGACTAAACAAATTTGCATACTTTCAGTTATCAATCCATCATTCCAGGATCTAATTCGGAAACGTGCACGTTCCCTCAAGATGGCACTCTTCCTGTTAACCACCGTCCCAGAAACGGTCTATTTCAGCTCGTTTCGCCGTTTCGTTCAGGACCCTTGCTCACCACCCTTTTTAGGTTCGGTCATCCTCAACTGTGCCCGTTGTGGGGGGACTGATAAAAGTAGGATACCTTGGTACATGTGGGTTGGTCTGGTCCTCCTAGACGGATATAATACACTTGCATGTCTCCACAATGGGTTCTTCTACTTCTTTTACATCCTGCTCGTCACGATCTTTTCATTTCTTCAGTACATTCGTGACCTTGGAAAAAGGTGAGGTTTTTTGAACCCTGAAAAAGCACATTTTCAGGGTTCGAAATATTCGCTAGAAACGAATTTTCATTAAAAACAAATGCACACGCAATTTGTGGCGTCATTAGTGATGTGCGTAGTTTTTTGCATGAGTGTTGGAAATTCCAGAAATAAACATCGTCTGGTGGACATGCCCGAGAAGGTTTGCTTTTTGAAAATCTTGTTTTGCAGTTCCGTAAAAAAAGGTTAAAAAATGCAAGAAATATAGCACTTTTTTTGTAACGGGTAAAAATACTTAACCAGTTCTAATTTTTTGCCTGAATGCATGTCAGTTATTTTTTCTCGGTTGAAAGGAACATTTCAAATCCCCCGCCTTAAAATTTTGTTGTATAGCATAATACATCACTAAAATTTTACTGATTCTTTAGGACGATGCCGGAAGGATTCAAAATCTACAGAAGGCTCCAAATCTTAGAAGTTTTGATAAGTGATTATAGCCGAACGCGATTACTGCCTTGTACTCTGGGCGTGGCACCAATCGTCGAAGTTCTGGGGTTGTTCACAATCATTAAATTTCACGACAGGATTCCGTTCCCGGGCATTTTAATATTTCCAATCGGATGTATGACCGCATTGACGGGGCTCGCTTCATTGGAAACAATGTCAGGCTCGGTAGTCATCAGGTCGGAAGAGGCCATATCAACCTGGAAAAAAGAGGCTGGTTCAAATCCGTTACGTCGGAGAAAGTTGCGTTCCCTTCAATCGATGAAGATCAGATTTGGGAATAACTACCTCGACCGCTTAACCGCATTGATCACGCAAGATTTTTGTCTCAATCAAACCGTATCCTTGCTAATTATGTTTAAATAAGATTGTAAAACTTTAGTGGGGCTGTTGCTAGAAAATTTTGTAAAAGGCAATTCGGACAATACCGTAGTTTGCATTGCTATAAATAAATACATTCAGTTAAATTGTGCTTCATAATAATTAAAATGGGATACTGGGCACAATTCTTTGTAAACGTGCAAATATGGAAGGAATCTTAAAATAAATGAATAAATAAATAAAATTATGCCCATCTTTCATACGCTGGTATTTTAAAGTTTCTATCCCTAATTAATTTAAATTAGGTACATACGTAGCTTCATTCGTGAGTTACGTGAACAGATTGATTGATGATTGATAGTCATTTATTCACATGTTATTCCTTGATCAGTACAATTTAATGACTGGTTTACATCAAGTAACACTAAAAAAATAGACGCGTAGCAATTGATTTTGTCGAAATTTTTAATTGAATAAGCAATTGTTTCTTTGGTGTGGGGAAATATTGATTTACTTCATAACTATGAGCATATAGCCTAACGATGTAGAATATGTACATATGTATATGTATGAAAGAATTCTCATGACTATACTACATATTAGCAATGTCAAAATATTGCACAAGCATTGACTACGTATATAAATACAAGGACAAAATGAATTTATACATCAATAAATATAGCTCCTTTAACCGGTATGGAGTTGCAGATTTAATTAGCGAAACCTTCTCTATGTCCTTGCTTGATTATCAATTTAAGTCATAAATAGATATATGTAGAATTTTGCCCGTTGAAGTGTATAGTACATATTACATTGACATAATATTGATTTAAAAATGTCTGCAAACATTTCAGGGGGAACTTTGCTTAGGGGCCGTTTATGGATTACGTTACGCGAGAAGGGGACGGGGTCTAAGGCTCTAATGATATCGTGCCTTCGTTACGCATGGTAAAGGGAGAGAGGTGATCTACGATTTTTGCGTTATGTAATTTATGGCCGGCCCCTTACTAAATAGTTTACCATCGTTTTCAGCTACGGATCGCCTTAATCCGCCTTACAGTATGTTTTTATAAATTTACATACGAGGGTATCCTGACGACAGGTTTTCTTGTGTTGGGGTGTTTTATATAAATAAATAAATATATGAATATCGTATTTAGATTAGATTTTATTTACTTGTGATATGTCCAAGGCTCTCGGCATTATATTACATTGTTGAAGAAATTGTATTTAAGAAATAGCATTTTACTAAATCAAGCTTAGGCAATTAACGGAATACTTACTTTTGACGGTATGACCATACTTTCATTAGATTTAGATGCACACATACAGTGAGTACGGTGATCAATAATACATTTTTGTGTTATGTAGTTTCGTACTTAAAGCCAGTTAAACTTACGTACGTCATTTATGTTTGGCATATTTATGTACATAGTGGGGTCATAAGTTCTCATGAATGCATTTCCGGTAATAAATCCCAAAGTATTAGAGCTATCTGTTCGAAATTTTTATGGATTAACAAGGTATTAATATTGTTTAGAAATCATAACTTCTTTGTCAAGATTTCGTCCACGGGCAATTAGACAAGACATAACTCGTGACGGCCACAGGTTGATCGTGGTACGCGCCAATTTTCGTGCAAAAAGTATTTCAGACTTTTCACCGTTGGCAAAAAATTTAATAGAAAAAAAGGCCAGATATTTGTTGTACAGAAGTCTGACATCCGTTTAAGTATGCGGAAGTCAATACTAAGTCATTACCGTGGTGTGCATGGGAGCAAGTTGGCTGGAGAAATGAAATCTCTGTTTTTTACCGCAAAGGGTACAAGTTGAAGCCAAGAATTATTTTCAGAGTGTCCTAAAGCCAAACGTTAATAACCTGAACCCTGGACCCTCCGAAAATCGACATTGGACCTTTCAACAAGACCCTGTTCCTGCGCAAGGTGCAAAATTGTCCAAAACTGGCTTCAGACGAATTTTCATGACTTTTTTTCATCCGTAGAACGGTGCTCAGTATCTGCAGACCTTAATCCCCTAAATTATGACTGGTGGTGAAAATTATAGGTACAAGTATGCTCTAAATTTCACCCAAGTGTGGAAGGGCTGAGGTCGCACTTACTGAAGATCTGGCGCTTTTCCCTGGAAATCCGTGCGTGCCGCGATCGAGCAGTTTTCGCCACGACTTATGTCTTGTGTACAAGCCCGTGGAGGAAATAGTGAAAACGAAGTTATGATTTCTAAACAAGATTAATACCTTGTTCATCCGCAAAAATTTCTATCAGATAGCTCTAATACTTTGGGCTTTATCACCGGAAATGCATTCACGGGAACTTATGGTCGGACTATGTAAGTAGGTAGCTCAAATGTATTTAAATAATTATGTGAATTCTAAAATGCTGGGCATTTATAGTTTGGGATTGATTGGGCCTGTATAGGTACTCCAAATGGAGTACAGGCAACAAAACATGTGATATGGCTCCCTTGTTGGCTAGGTTTGTATTCCATGATGATTTGTCCAGAGTGAGAGACGAACCCATTTGGTGAATTAAGTCCACAAAATCTGACAGGTTCCAGATTCATATCAAAATATGTGTGAGGATAATTAACCACTAATTAATTCCATACCTTTCAAAGCGAGAAAAACGACCGGTCCGTATTTGCAGATATGACTCCAGACAGTTCCATGATACAGGAATATTGAAGCATGGACAGGTAACGCTTAGGACGCAATTGTTACCCTGAGTGTAAATTTGAAGTAAGAATAATTGCTTTTTAGGGAATTTATCGTGTTTTATATTGTACGTATTACATAAAATTCCCAGTTTTTTATTCCACCCGCATTGTTGTTACTCCGTTCAAATTTGTTGCTGACGGTGGCTCGGGTATCACCGGGGTTTAGAACAATTTGGTTTCCAGGCGGCAAAAGTGGTGCTGTTTGTAGGTATAAAATACTCTGAAAAATACCACCTCAAATTTTTTGGAGTGCAAAAATGACAAAGTTACGTAGGTGCATCGTCGTCGGTGGATCTGTGACGATGATATCGGTGGTAGAATCTGTAGGTGCTAATGTGCTTTTATCGGTAACTATTTGTTTGCGGAGTCGCCATTTATGTACACCCCTAGTGGAATCAATCTTAAATACGATTCCAATATATACGAAGTTAAGAAAGCATTCTTCCCTGTCATGAAATGTGTAATATTTTTATAAACAATTATTTACCTGATGTCCCACGAAAGCAATTATTAAACCAAATAATACGCTCCTCATTTTAATTGATTTGTCGATTTTCTGCTGTGATATGAATTTTGCGCTTAATTACTCCGTACATTAATTAAAAATTTGCTGCGCCCGTTAATCTTAAAAGATTGACGTATCAAATAAGGTAGTTAATGTTTGATTAATTCCACCACGTTATTTCCGGGCGAGAAAAACTGATAAGTTAAGCTGATATTGTCATTACGGTTCGGAAACGTTAGACTTCAGACGGATTTGCTATGAGTAAAAAAATCCAAATGCAAGCTTCCCAGTGTATGAAAGCATAGAGATTTTATAAAATTAAGACTAAAGATTAATTAACCTCGCTCATGTACATTAATATTCATACAGGCAGTTAATATGTTCAGTCATTTTGGAACTTTGGCATACTTAAGCTAATTAGATAATGTCACTAATATACAGCTACATATCGGTTAATACGTGCATAAACCTTTCCTATTCGGTTTCACACAGAATAAGGAAGTTTGGTCGGTCTTTTAATTTCAAATGTGAATTCAATGCCACGGTTTCAGTGTGCCTTCTATTGTCGATTTCTGAGAATTATAAGCTGATTATAATATTTCTTGGAATTATACAAGATCTAAAAATATTTTATGGTTAGTCTGCAGATCGATAAGATTTATTTATAAATATGTATATTCAAATTATTAATTTATCTCGTAGTTTATAAATATTAAGCGAGTGCCGAGATTCATTGTCGCATTCCTTGAGAAACACTGAGTTACCCTTTTATCAAGGTGATTATAATAAAATGCAGTTTTATCATGGTCATGGCTTCTGGGTTGGTTAGTACATGCTGTCCTAATATTATAATGTTACATACATGTGTTTGTAGACACTAATTAAGTGCATGGCAAAAAAACCGGCGCAAATTGTCTCCGGGCGTGCATATGTGCGCGCGGTGATAAAATTGACACCAGTAGGTGAATTTTAATTTCTTTAATCTTCATTGAGTAAAATTCCATCAAAATTTTCTAGTCTTTTAATATGCTGGATAACATTTAGATAACTCCGACTCGGGTCTTGCGCAATGCTTGCAAATTGATCACAGTCATACGGTGAGCCATGATTGTACTTAACAGTTGCTGTTATGCGATCCCGATCCGCCCATCATTTACCCCAGAAGGATGTTTAATATCTGATAAATCGAGAAAAAATTACGAAGTTCAGGAAAGTAGAAAAACTTTCTGAAATTTTGATTACCCCGTCAGTTTTTAGTGAAAAGTGTGGATGTCTGGATGGGAAATGGTAATTGATTTGAGGATCGTTGCCAAATTTTATATATTCTATACTTTGTGACCACTGATCATAAAGTAAATTTACAATTAATTTATAAAATAGTGCGTGGTAGACATGTCCAAGGTCAATCGAAGAGTCATTATCATTATCACCTTTGAAAAACTACCCATTACTGAACCCCCGAAAAGTGTACCTTTGGTGGCTAATTAAACGGCGTAAAATATACAGGATTGTCTAACGGACACAAATTGGGATCACTATTTGGGTCCAGATAATCCCGAAGTATGAGACACGCCGTTTTCTCTGCGGCAAGTTGCGTGGGAGCGTTTGGATTTCCGTTCGTCGATGTTGGAAGAACGCTGGCATCAATAACGCGTAATCGTGAGACTCCACGCACCCTGTAAAAAATCCATTAGTTGTGATTCTGAACATATATATTTACAAATTATCCTCATCGCAGGTCTATTTTTGAGCTGACTTTAAGTCCGAGGCGACCACGGCGAGTGGATCATCTCTTCTTCCCATTACACAAGTTCCAGACAAATGCCACGATGTTCTCGATGTTTGCACGATGTAGCACTTCCAGTAGTCGTCCGAGTCAAAAGGATAGAATTTACAGGCCTCTGGAACTTCGGGTCTATACCTCAAACCCAACGGTTGAAATGCAGCAGTCTTGCTAATACTGAAAACCATGCGAATACATAACAAAGTTTATCGCAATATTAGCAATATCTACATGGGTATTTCATCCTTGGCACCTTTTCGTGTAATAAATTTGATTTTATAATGTAATGCCCACCCTCGAGCAGGACATCCATATCGGTTGGATCCGTAAATATCCCCAAGTCAAGGCTGACCAATTTCTCATCGTCCACTTCCCCCGCAGCATACATTTCCGTATTCAGAAAGACACACCCTCTTGATTTTGGTCTCCCAAATTCTACGCGCATCACAATCTGCAATAAATCGTATCCAATTCGGCCAATTCTTACAGTATTCACGAGGAATTGCCATAACTAAGGAACGTATGTAGACAAGGAAAAGTAACGTTTATGAAATAATTTGGCAACTTTCCCACGTCCAAAACTGCTTTTAATGAAACTTTTTTTTCAAGCTACACCAGGATTGTTTATTTAGCAAGTTATATAAAAAAAATCAAGTCCAAAATGAGGTACATATTATCTTTCCGTTGAGAGACCCGTATGAAGAAAAATGTTAGGAGGCAAAGCTTACAGTCCACACTTTTTTCTCCCCGTGGATGAAAAATGGAGAAACAATTTCCTTAAAAGGTGAGCTTTGCCGGCGCTATTATTCTTTGAAGAGCCAATTAACGGAAAGATAAGCGTCATGTGATTCCAAATTTTTGGATTGTTTTTTTTTAAATATATCTCGCTAGACAATTGTCATGTATGTATGAAAGTAAGTAATGTGATTATACCCTATAGGTTGATAACTTACCTGGGTTGCATTTATCGCAAGTCCGGCTAGATCATTCATTTGAAAAAATAAATGATAATCCGGCCAATTCCCTTCATTATCTCGTTTCGCACGAGACGAGACGATAAACGCTTGATGCACATTTTCCGTGCTAAACGCTCCCGTTTTTATAGGAGCCTGGAACTTGATAAGTTCATCTTGCAAGCCCGAATCGGACAAAGTTGGATAAAGGGTTTGGGCGGCTGATGGGTTTAGAATCTGAAATTTGAAATGTATGTCGGCATGATCCAGGAGATTCTGCCCGACCCCGGGGAGGTCTTGGACGATTGGGATCTAAATACGTAGGGGTTTCGTACACATATCTAAGCATTATATTCAAGTTGCAGACAGTTTCACAGCTTAAAATACATGTTTACTTTGGCGGCGTGGAGAGTTTGTGAAGGGCCGATGCCGGATTTCATGAGCATTATTGGCGAAAGTATGGCTCCCGCAGAGATGATAACTTCTTTCGAAGCGTGAGCAATTTGTGGAATTCCGTGTCGCAAATATGTCACGCCGTATGCGATTTTGTTTTCATCAATTAGAACCTAATCGTAATTAAAAATGAAATACTCCGTTAAAATTATGCATATTAGAATCTGGTACCTTTTGAACTTGAGAATATCGCAAAACTCTCAAGTTAGGCCTGGTCTTTTCCACCCCTTGAATCAAGGCGGTGTAGGAACTGGATCTTAAAGAATTTTTAGTCGATAACGCTATTGGGGAGAAGGCTGGAGTTTTAATTAAGAGTGTAACATTTTATTTAAAAAGTGCGCAACAATTTGAAAATCATGGAAACCAACTTGGCTTGGCCAAGTAAACACTATACCTTGGGTCTGGAATGCATTTGGATCTGCCGCCTGAAATCCTAATTCCCTTCCGGCCGCCAGCCACATTCCGAGTGTTGGTCCATTCGACGTAGTAACAGAGAAGGGTCCACTCGTACCGTAGAAACCTGTGCAATTTTTTCATTCGAAGTTTGCATAACATGCGAACTGAAATCTATATCATAAGCTGGAAATGTTTGTCTGCAACGGAAGTGAAAATAATTTTCCGTGACGGAAGTAAATAAAAATGACGAAAGTTTAACTTCCCTCGCCAACCGGCATTTTCAGCTAATTATATAGATACAATAAAAATAATAGTTCGGTGGAATTATGAACAATCTGACTTAATTTTCACGAAAATCAAATAACTTCTCGCCTAATGTTATTCCGGCGATAATGAATGGTAGAACAAAGTGGAATGTAAAAAATCGCGTGAGTGTAGCGTTATCTACCGCGAACCCCCCCCAAATTCACTGTACTAATATTAAACCTATATAAGGGATTGCTGACAATAAATTTGTAATTACTGTGGCGGCTCAAAATGACATTTGTCCTCAAATTAATACATATCCTATGAAAGCAGTTGCTATTACTAAAAATAAGATTAAGACTCCTATCGTTCAAGTCATTGTATAAGTATACGATGAATAGTAGATCCCTCGTCCTACATGGAGGTACAGGGCAATGAAGAATATAGAGGCTCCATTGGCGTGTATGACTCGTAGAAGCCATCCGTAGTTTACGTCTCGGGTAATATGAGCTACTGTATTGAATGAGATGGCTACATCTGCTGTGTAATGTATTGCTAAGAATAAGCCTGTGATAATTTGGGTTACTAGGCATAATCCTAGAAGAGACCCAAAATTTCATCAGGCTGAAATATTAATTGGGGCAGGAAGATCTACTAAAGCATTATTGGCAATTTTAAAAAGAGGGTGTATTTTCCGTTCTGCTATCATTATTGTAAAAAGTGTGAGAGGGTTTTGAGAGGGGCCTCAAATTTATTAGAAATTTTTACTACAATCACTAGGGTTAAAAATAAATAAAGTATAGAAGTGGTTAAAAGAATGCAGTTGTTTCATCTATAAAGGAAATTAAATGTTTTTGTTATAAGAAATCTTGTTCTTGATTCTTTAAATTCTTGGAAGTCTACATTTATAATTATAAAGAATACCAAAATTATGGGGATAAAAATACTATTTGGGAGGGTGATTATTTTTAATCTAATTAATTCATTTGACGCTAGGCTAGTGATATAAATAAACAAAACTATTAACCCCCCCAAAAAAATTAAAAATAAAATATAGGAAAATCATCTAGTTTTTATAAAAAATCATACAGTGATGCATAAAATTATAGTCTGAGAAATAATTAAAACTATTATTATTACTGGATGTCTTCTTAGATAAAATATAGCTCTAATTCTTGCGGAAGTTAACAAAAATATTTTTATACAAAATTTAATTTATGAAAAATATTAGCTTTGGAAGTTGGAAAAAAGTGGATAACTTAATTTTGAAGTTTTTATGCTTTAAGCACACTTAAGTTTACAAAACTAATATTATAAAATTAACTATAAAAACTTATATTTTTATCTTTTATTAGAGGTTTAATTATTCTTTCTGGGATTTGGATTGTGTGCTCTAAGCGGGACCATCTTTTGTCTGTTCTTTTAAGACTTGAATACATTAGATTAGGGGTTTTTCTTTTATTATTAGCATTATTGAGAAAAGGAGACTTTTTCTATTCTTTAGTTTATATTACTTTTACAGCATGTGAGGGTGCTTTAGGTCTTTCTATTTTAGTGACGATAAGACGGACTCATGGAGGTGATTATTTTAAGTCTTTTAATTTTTTTTTAAATTTATGATAGTAAATTTATTTTTTATCTTTTTATTTATAGGGTTTTTAAAGAAGTTTAAATTAAATTTAATTTATGTGTTAACATTTATTTCTGTTTATCTAGTAATTTATACATTAGTGGGTCAGCCAGAAACGTTTTACTTAGACTCTTTATTTTATTATGACGGGATTAGATTTATTTTAGTGTCTCTAAGAGCTTGGGTTAGAATTTTAATAATTTTTTCTAGATATAAAATTTTTCGTTTCAAGGAGTATACTTTTTATTTTTATAGTTTTGTTTTTTTGTTACTTTTTATTTTACTATTGACTTTTTTTTCGGGTAACTTATTATTTTTTTATTTTTTTTTTGAGGTTTCTCTAATCCCGACACTTTTAATTATTATGGGTTGAGGCTACCAACCTGAGCGTGTTCAAGCAGGAATGTATTTTTTATTTTATACGCTCACAGCGTCGTTACCTTTACTTTTATTAATTATGTACTTATATATAATTGGAGGTGGTGTTTCTTTATTTTATAGGGAGTTACTTTTTTATTCATTTTCAGGTTTTAATTTCTTTGTTATTACTGCTTTTATGGGTTCGATAGCCTTTTTAGTTAAACTCCCTATGTATTTTACACATTTGTGACTCCCTAAAGCTCATGTTGAGGCCCCCGTTGCAGGCTCGATAATTTTAGCTGGGGTTTTATTAAAGTTAGGGGGCTACGGTCTTATACGAGTTCTTAGCATCACAGGGGTTTCAGTTATAAAGTTTAGCCCTTACTTTATAGGGCTAAGATTAGCTAGAATAATGTTTACAGGGATCTTGTGTTGTCGTTTAAATGATTTTAAAGCTTTAGTAGCGTACTCTTCAGTAGCCCACATAGCTATGGTGATTGGGGGGCTAGTAACTCTCTATTCATGGGGATTTATGGGGGCCTTAGTGATGATAGTAGCTCATGGAGTTTCCTCTTCAGGTTTATTTTGTATGGTTAACTTATACTATGAACGAACTGGGAGCCGAAGTTTTTTTATTAATAAGGGGCTTATTTTAAGTTTTCCTATTTTTTCTTTACTAATATTTTTTCTCTGCGCGTCGAATATTGCTGCCCCCCCGACTATTAATTTATTATCAGAGATTTTTTTGATAGCTAGAATTATGAGTTACGATTATATTATACTTTTATTCTTCCCCCTAGGCTCCTTTTTAGGGGCGGTTTTTACATTATTTATATTTTCGTTTTCACAACACGGGTCTTCTTATAATTCGGTGGGAGACGGGCTTATACGCTAGTATTTTAATAATACAGAGGTTGTCCCACACGTTTTTTTTAAATAGGGGTTTCGTTTTAGCTTCAACATATTCGGACGTTCTGCTCTCGGAGTATTCTACAAGCCACAGTGAGCAACTAGCTTGAGCAAATTGGCATATGATTCAGAACGATAACGTAGTGAAGCTAAATCACAACCAAACTTAAAAAAAGCACGTGACAAAATCTCTCAAATAACCTCTTTGATCTTCATTGAGTAAAATTCCATTAAAGTTTTCAAGTCTTTTAAAATGCTGGATAACATTTAGATAACTCCAACTCGGGTCCTGCGTAATGCTTGCAAATTGATCGTAGTCGTGCGGTGAGCCACGATTGTAGTAATTGTTGTTATGCGATCCCGATCCGCCCATCATTTTCCCCAGAGAGATGTTTAACATCTAATAAATAAATCGAAAAAAATTACCGAGTTCAGAAAAGGGGTAAAGCGTTCTGAATTTCTGATCACCCCATCAGTTTGTAATGAAAAGTGTGGATGTTGGGATGAGAAATGGTAATTGATTTGAGGATCGTTGCTAAATTGATTTGTCCAGAGAAAAGTGTTCACAGCGGGAGGTGGATTTCCGCCCGTTTCTAGCAGTAAAACTTGGAAATATTGGGAGAGTCTGCCCGCCAGTAGACATCCCGCTGCACCAGCGCCTACTGTAAAAAATTAGAATTCAATGTATATTTACATACATTTGAAAATCAAGGAAAATTAGGTGTATCCCTAACATGGGACCAAGTTAAGGTTAACATGAGCAGTTATCTTCTACCGAGAAAATTGATGTACTTAATAGAAATTAGAATAATTATGGGGTAATTTTAAACTGTAAGTGGAAAGTATATAAGATGACTAGATACGGGAGGAGATGAGGGGGAGGGATTGATAGGGAGGAGATGATGGGAAGATGAAGATGAATGGGAGGAGTTAGCATATAATCTTAAATCTAGGAATTATAAATCTGTCGTCTTGTCGGTTTTTACGCAAATTTCGAAAGCTACACGTAAATATGAATTTAAAATGCGTATTCGGTGCCAAGTGTTGGGTTTATTGTCGTACAGATTCTAAATCTCTTCATCACTCAATTGAAACAATTCGCTGTACGTTAAATTTGTTGCCCAAATTTCTTTTTTGGGTTTAACCAAAAGGTACTTAATATTCCTGTGTACACTCAAAACAAAACGGTGTCAATATATGACTTAACCGCCTTGGTTACAATTATGATTCCGACTAGTAATGATTTTTTTCCGTCCGGTCATAATATTATAACACATTTTAACAGTGTGCTGTGTACATAGGTAATATTTTAAGCCTGGGTATGTACATAGATATTAATTTAAGTTGAAATGGACAATATTATCTTCTATGTACCTTAATTGTTACATACCTAAATAATAAACGCTGGACATTGCTGGAGAGTGGAGATGAACTTGAGAGAAGAAAAAACTGGAAGCTTTACAGGCACAGGCCGCGGAAAAGGGTGAAGTCATTTGGGGTCATAAAAATTATCGAGGGGGTTTTATACAATATGTACAAACCGATCGCATGAATTTATTCAATAGAGAATAAATAAATTATTTTTAAATGAGTGAATATTTAATTGGCGAATATTTTGTCAAAATTTTTGCAAAATATTGTAAAATATGTCAAAATATGTCAAAATATTGAATAAATATTTATTCATTTCATATTCATGAAAAGAGTGAATGAATAATTGTACGCATTATTAATTTTTTACTCTATGCTGAATACATTGAGAAATACATCTAATAAGGTAAATTTGAGATAAAATTATCAAAAAAGTAGCAAAGAATAAATACTTAAATATTTTTAAATTAGTAATAAATGAATAATTAATGAATAATTTTTTCCAATTTTTAAATTGAGTATTTTTTGAACAGTTTTGAACAGGGTTCTGTACATTTGCAAGGGACATTATTCTAATGGTCCGCGGCCGTTAACTTTATAAAGAAATGATGCGCAATTTTTTTTACCCGTTTGTCCATGCATGGGATGGTTGCGTTGTTTTATTGATATGTAAATATGTATGTATGGATATAGTCGATAGATAAAAACATGCAAAACTAACAAATCGTAAGCATATAGACATTTAGATAAATTTATTTATTTCGATGGTCACGAGTCCAGTCCTGAATTGACGACCCACCGCAAATCCTGCCGAGAATTGCGGAGAGACATTTATCTTCCCAGTTTGAATTTTATTGTGCACGTTAAAAATTAAAATTGAGATTGACCGGTTTTCATTTTGTTTGATTTTGTTTAGCTGACAGGTGTGTAATTTATGCATATAATATAATTCTATAGAAGTTGATTGCTAGAAATCTGGGTTAGATATTGGTTTATCGGTATTAAAGTTGCTACCGTTTGGTATTAAAACTATATAGGTCCGTAAAAACTCATATTTACCAATGTAGAAAAACTTTAATACTGAGCTAATACGCGTCAATACCACTTAATTATATGTTTAATTATATGTGCATGAATACCGCGTAGTATCATTTTAATATCGAATTTCTAAGAGTGCACATTTTGTCTCAGGTTAGCAAGTTTAGATTTTCATATAAAATTGAACTTGGAAATTTTTTTTATAGAATTTGGAAGCATCTTTCTGAGAAAATGGTGCAGCCTCCAGTCCTCGACAGCGTCATCGTGGGTGCCGGTTTTGCCGGGTTGTACACCCTCTGGAAACTCCGCGAGTTAGGATTTTCCACCAAAATCTTGGAAATGGGATCTGATATCGGTGGGACTTGGTATTGAGAAAATTGGGTTTATGTATCCTTATTTTAAGGCTGAATAGCTTCGTCATCTCATTCATCCTATTCAATCTTTTTATATGAAGTGGCTTCCAAAATGGCATCAATTTCATGGGTTTTGAGATAAATTCGATAGCATTTGTAATTTTTATACAAAAATTGCAAATTGCAAAACTATCGATTTGAGAAAAAAATCGATACATAAATATTTAGTTTACTATTTTTTCACAATAAATGTTCCCAAAATTAATTCGCTAATTGGCTTCAAATTGAGTTTTGTAATACCAGAAATGAAATATCAAAAGTTGTATTAATCTCAAAACTCATGAAATTCATCCCGTCTACATTTAAAAACATTGAATAGGGGTAGATTGAGACTAAAGAATCTATGACGAAGAATATGTCACCTTTACATGCCAAAATTATTAATGCTCCTCTTCAATATTTATCAGGTATCACAATCGCTACCCCGGAGCTCGAGTGGACAGCGAAATTCCAATCTATCAACTTTCCATGCAGAAAGCCTGGTCAAGTTTCGAATGGAGCGAGAAGTTCCCCGCGAGAGAAGAAATCCTCCGATATTTCGAACACCTCGATAAAACCCTCGACCTCCGAAAAGACATCGAATTCAACACTCTCGTCGTATCTGCCACCTTTGACGAATCCCGACATCTCTGGGAAGTCAAAACTTCGTCTGGATCAACCATCTTGGCCACCCATTTGAACTTATGTATCGGGTTTTCCGCTCGAAAATATAGTCCCACTTTCCCTGGCCAGGAAACATTTAAAGGAAAGATCTTCCACTCTGCCAACTGGCCAAAAAACCAGGACGCCGACTTGACCGCGAAACGTGTCGCCGTGATCGGCACGGGAGCTTCCGGTATTCAAATCATCCAAGAAATCGCACCCATCGTCGACCATCTCACGGTGTACCAACGAACCCCGAATTTTGCTTTGCCCATGCGCCAAACTAAATCTCGCGACGCCCCCTTCGCCAATGTATCCGGTTACGGCGACATCTTCAAAATAATGCCGACCACCTTCGGCGGCATGAGTATGGACTTCACCCCGAAAAAGTGGGATGAAACGATTCCCCAAGAAAGGCGGGATCTGTACGAGAAATGCTATCAACTTGGCGGCTTCAACCTCTGGTTGTCCACTTATGTCGAAGTATTTTTCAATCAAACCGCCAACGATGAAGTTTACGCTTTCTGGCGGGACAAAGTGAGACAGCGAGTAAAAAATGAGGCAACCCGAGATTTACTTGCCCCTATGGTACAACCACACCCCTTCGGGACGAAACGACCCTCACTGGAACAATCCTATTACGAAGTCTTTAACCAGGATAACGTCGACCTTATCAATGTTAAGGAGTCGCCAATCCTGGAGATTACACCGACCGGGATTAAAACGGCGGATGGGCGTCACGTTGAGGTCGACGTGATCGTTTTAGCGACCGGGTTCGACACCAGTACTGGAGGAATGCTGGATATTTCGATCAAAAATGGGGAGGGGTTAACCCTCCCGGAAAAATGGGGGGACGGAACGTCCACATTTTTGGGGGTGACGATGCATGGATTTCCGAACATGTACTTCATCTATGGACCGCAAGCTTCGACGGCGTTTTCGAACGGACCGACCTGCATCGAAATTCAGGCGGATTGGATGATCGACCTGATGGTGGATATGCGCGCAAAGAAGAGGACGCGCGTGGAGGCGGAGAAGGGCGCGGAAGACGACTGGGTCGCGATGGTGCGGCACATTTGGGAAATTAGCTTGTTCTGGAAGGCAGAGTCGTGGTATCAAGGGGCAAATATTCCGGGGAAGAGGAAGGAAGCGTTGAATTTTGCGGGGGGAATTCCCGCCTATAGGAAGGCGTTAGGTGAGTGTAAGGACGAGGGGTATAAGGGGCTACAATTTAAGTGATAGTTTGTAAAAGCAAGTTCATGACACTCTTAAAAATAATGTGAGCCTTTTGAAAATTAAACACTCAATTAAATATTAAGTAAACCATGCATCTTAAATCTAGGCATAGTAAATTTTGCTGTTTATCATAAGTTTTTAAAGTTAAACGAGGAGAGGAAAATCTGTCGAGAAAAGATTATCACAAATTTCTTATTACTTCTTACAAGGTGTCAAAAGTTAGTGTCAAAAAGCCTATGAAAATCATTGAGGGTATTCATAACTCCTTAATTTTCTTCGTACCGTACAATAAGTTACGACGGTTATGAATGAAATTTTGTAAGATTTTGTGCTCGAAAATCACGTCACTATGCGATTTTTACGAAGTTTGAACCCTTGTTTTTCTTCGTAAACTATTTTATCATACTAAAAATACGAATAAAAAATGAATACCCTGACTGTTTTTTATGTGGAAGCATGTATCTTAATAATTAAATGAGAGATTATAGGAAAACATTTTTCATAAACTTAAAGCAGGTAAATACATAAGAAACTTGAGGTTGTAAATTTTACGAAGTCCTGAAAGTTTAGGCAGGTACCTGATGAATGAGAGAGGTTCTACTTACTTAATTTCATAAAATTGAACGCGTATTGTCTAGAAATAAAATTATTGTACGCACATTTTCTCAAATCTATTCATGTTTGTAAATATAAAAAGTACATACGTGTATGTAAAAATATTAGTATTATTTAACTATTGGCATTGCCTTTGAAGACAAAATGTTACTATGTATATGTACATACATACATACAATTATGAAATGAAACAAAAAAAATAAACTCTTGGGTTTACAAAATATTTTCATTATGTTTGACGTATTTATCACATATCTAGATAATTATAAGCATCTTGAGTCAAGATGCTTATAATTATCTATTTTTAAGGCTAAAAAATGCTTGTCAAGATTCTTGACAAGCATTTTTATCATAGCACAAGAAAATTGACTCGCAATTCTTAATCTGGACCAAAAAATTACAAAACGATGTTAGACCATGTCGATAACTAGAAATCAATAAGAGAATAAATATTTGACCAGAAAATGCGCAAAAATTAATATATTTTATTTGACCTCATCTAAAATGACCCAGATATAATATTTTTAGCTACAATTTAGACATCCATGTTCAACATACATGTAATATTTCATAAGTATTATAAAATTTACAAAGTTGACAACTTGTAAACTTCCTCTGCCTCATTCATCCCCCCAATCATTCTCCCAGTGAGTATATCCAGCGACCCAATTATCAGCATCATCCCACACTTGATCATCTTCGTCACCCCCAACGGACCGGGACCAGTCTTCGCCACCCCAGGCTTCTTGGTCATCATCTGACCCTTCCCCTTCGAAATCAGCAGGCGCGTCTCCTTGAAAATCATTGCAATTCAAGTAATCATAATTATTATCGTCGTCGTTAACGTCGTTAAGTTCACCTTCGTTCTCTGCATCATGAAAATACTCATCATCTTCATCCTGGTAATTGGTCGACGCAACACTGGCGGCGTCGGCGTCGCCGAAGACGTCGTCTTCTTCGATGTTGTCGTCGCCATCATCGCCCCAGTCGTCGTCGTCACCAGCCCCATACCAGTCGTCATCCCTGCCATCGTCGCCCCAATAGTCTGGACCCCCAACAAGGGTTGCACGTTCCCACGCGTCTTCATCATCGTGCCTGAAGGAAGGTGAAAAATTTCTAGCTCTAAAATGACCTTTAATTACAGTTGAATATGCTATGTATTTGCTACCAGATCGCAGTGTTGTTATCATTCTGCTGGTGGTTGGTAGTGGGGGTGGATGTGGGCCCACGACGAAGACGCAGCATTTGAGCAGCATTGTGCTTTTTAATGGTTTCTAAAATCGAGTCAGGATCCCTCGTTGGCAAATCCGGGTTCAGTTTTCGTTTCTTGCTGTTTTCCTCGATAAGCTTTTCTGCGAGGCGATTCCTCCCCATGCCAAGGGAGTAGGAGGGTCGGCACCTATTTACAAATAAATACACAGTTACATACTCATTTTTATGTACTATTTTTTTACTACACTGTTAAGTATTAAATCATTACTGGACGGATTGCATATGGATATGACTCTACCGGTACGGTAATAACTGGCATCACGGTCAGTAATGTCGTGGCAATGAAAAATTTACCACTCGGAAAGAAACTATCTATTACCAATCTGGAAGGAAGTTACTACTACCAAATCAATACCAGCATGGCGTATATGTCTGACTATACCTAATTTGTTTTGTAACAGTGTATGTGTAGTTTTAAATGAGTGTAATAACTTAGATAATTATTTAAATAAGTAGTTACATACGTAGGACAACAGTCCATTGTGTCGAAATGATCGGCGACATGGACGGCGCAAACGTTGTGACCGTTCGTACATTGAATAATTGGTATCGAACACGTCTCCAGGCAGATGCAGCACTCCAAAATGTTTAGAACGTCGGCCGATGTCGACACGGGGGATGAAGAATGGCGACGGCGCCGAGTTTCTGGAGGCATGATGGTGTAGAATTGATTGTTTAATTGCTTGTCTAGCAAAGAGTAATAAAATTAGGTGAAAATGTAAATTAGGAAAATGTACAAAAACTTTGATTTATGGTGTACTAATTAATAATTATTTTAATGTACTTCATATTTCATATTTATTTACTTACCGAAATATTTACCTCGTCCTTGCTTTTAGGGAGGATTTACGCGTAATTTTTCAACTTCATGTTGCCCTACATTATATAATTTATCTTGACTACGATAAATTATGAGGATTTAATGTGCAATTTCAATTATCTTGATTGTGGAGAAAAAAGAGGCGGTCAGAATTAAATGGCACACGTCCAAACCATTTTGTTTTGAACTTTTTTTCACAAACCAGATGATCGGAAAGAAATTGGAGGCATGAGGGCCGTTCAAAGTTGACGTGTGAAAATTGTTGACGATCAGAAATATTTAATTACCATCAATATAATATTTGATACGAGGTTTACGAAATTTTCTGAGTAACAAATAAGTTGTGATTATATTTGAACGGCTTATGAATCCTGCCGTTGCAACGCGTTGGAGGCTTTGTTCTCTTGTTTTGCATACAAATGTTAGAGCGTCATGAATTTATAAATGTTTTCGTATTTATTTTTACACATACATGTTTAATTTATTTGTAAAAATAAGTACATTATATGTATGTATATGTATATATACATATGTATATATGCATTAAGATGTACATATTTTAAATGTAGATATGTTGTATACACATGTACATATGTGCATATCAAAAAATGTGAGACAAGTAATTACACGTTTTTATTGCAATTTGCAATAATTATTTATTATCAGTGTAATATTTTCTAACGTGTTTCTTGTATTATTTCAAATTCAATTAGACAAGGATTGGCTAATTCTTGTACAGGAAAATACTACACGATACTAATAAAACTATGAATCTGTGTGCATAGCAATACGCAGATAATTTTATTAACTATGCATGAATGTAGTTTAAGCTTACCATTAAGTTCTAAAATTATAAATATTTTTGAAAATAATACGAACAAGGTATACAGGTGAGGTGCAACCTACACTAATTTTAATCTCCACAAAATCTTATTACTCGCCTTATTAGTCACGTTTGTTACTTAATACCAAACTGAAGCATGATGATCAAATATGTCGAAATGGCTGAAAAGAAGGTCAAAATCGTAGCAGTATTAATAATGAAAAAATTTCCACACCGAAATCCGAACGGAATGCACGCGTCCAATCTCATCTTCAGCAATTCCAAATAATTCTTCTGTTCCACAACCAGATTCAAACTCCCCCTCGAGTACGCCACCCCTCTCAGCCACGACATCTGGAAACTTTTCGAAACCTCGTAAACCTCACCCATGCCGGGAATTACGCGACAAAAAATGTACACTACTGTGAAAAAGAGGAAAACATATCCCAGCAAACTTAACGGGCTTGACGAAGTCCAGTAATGTATTGGCAAATATGCGACAATACAACCCATCAAGGAGTACCCACCAAATGAAATGGCTAAAACCCAAGCGAACAATTTATTACATTGTGTCACTAATTCGTCCAAGCGTTTATAATATGCCAAGGATTGCTCCATTTCCGCCAACAATTCAAACTTCCCGGATTTTTCTTCCCGGAAGGATATCAGGCCGATGCAGGTTTCCAATATTCGGCAAAAGTTGAGACACGTGGCGGCAAGTTGGACCATGAATCCTAAATCGTAAATTATGTAAAGACCTTGAAAGGTGACGGAGATCGTGAGGAAGACGGAGTTGTAACAGGGGGAAGATGAGATTTTGGAGAGAACGTTGTACATGAAGACGGGTGACATGGGGTCCTTCAAGTGCTTGATTATCGTCACTGTGGCTCCGGTTATGGAGAAGATGAACATTCGAAAGAGGAGGGAACGAAATTCGGGTTCATGGTTGTGAATCTTCTTACCGGGAGGGAGGGAGGACTTGTATTTTTCTGGAAAAATGGTGCATTAATTTGAGATAATTTTCAAAATAATAGGTTAAATTTTGAACATTAAAAAAATTCTATCAAGCTTACTGACTTCAGAATCACAATATTTATGGCATACATTTAATGCCTCTCCAAAAAAATGGGAAGTACCCTCCCAATATTTCAGAAGTACCCTCCATTGAACCCTACCTCCTAATGTTATTTTTGAATTAGGATTTTGGTGGCAAACTACCTCTTAAATAATAGACGTATCTGCAACATATAATTTTGGAATTTTATGTAAAAAGCGTATCATTAATTTACAATTAGAGTTAACGCTTCCATAAAAACAACCATTTTTAAAAACTACATGGCAATCAAGGCTTTTGTGGACTTAAAAGGTCCTCCACCCACGTTTCTCTCGATACAAAGTGGTACAGTTTTGGCTTCAGGACAACATAAAAAAATGTTTTGAACTTTCCGAAGTACATCTTTACAAATATACAGTACCAGTTCTTAAAAAAACTGGCACACGTGCATGTCAACCATTCCAAACAGTGCAGTAAAATCGAACTAAAGGGTTACGATTTTCAGAAATTGCCTTAAAAACGTGAAATTCGGTACGTGATAATGCCGAATTTTTAGGCCTTTTAAGATGGCCTTAAAGATTTGTCAAGATGTCTGTCTGTCCGTCTGTAGGCACGATAACTCTCTTTAAACAAAAGCTATCTACTTCAAATTTTGCATACTTCATCTTCGGGCAAACTGTAAGGTTGACTTCGGAGATGGGCATGATCGGTCAAGTGGTTGGTCGGTGGGGATCGTTTAGGTGGATCGGGTGTACCGTAATAAAATTTAAATGTCATAGAAAAGTTCCAAATTTGCTGCTGGAGGCTGAAATTTGATACGAAGTTAATAATATATCACATATTTGATATTAGGCAACATGGTTAGAAATGTAAAGTTGTCAAGCAATATTGGATATTAGGAGTCCGACTTTCAGTGAATAATGTCATCTTAAAAGGTTCCGCAAAGTTGCTTGGAGTAGGTTTTAATCTTAAATTCTTTATCGCTTCTCAGAAATGAGTATGAAGTGAAAAGTGAGCAATATGAGACTCTACCAACGTGGTATTGATAAATAATACCGTGTAGTAATAACCCGGTATTAAAGTTTTACAATATCGGTATCAAATTTTTACGGACCGGTATAATTTTAATACCAAGCGGTAGCAACTTTAATACCGAGAAATCAAGACCTGCATGACTATACCGGATTTCTAACAGTGCAGTGACCCTTGAGGGTGACCTATACCCTTTTTAAAAAGTTGCTATTTTCATCTTAAAAAATTTAGTATGGTGGGTAAAAGCTACTTCTGGGTAACACATACATCCTTGGAAGTTTAAGATTTTAAAGAAACCCCATTGGTCAAGGGGAAAGACTTCTTAATACTTCAAAAATTTGTTGGCAAATAATAGAAAATATCTAACAAACATTTAATCATCCCCACAACGGAGGTTGGTAATAATTCGTCGGTCAATTCTGACAACAATTTAGAAGCGGACTCTGTACCTCATTCAGGCTAAATGATGTCTGTATACTGTAGGTAGGAGTGGCAATCCGTCGGATCGGATCGGATTGTGACGGCTTCGGATTGATCCGGTTCGGATTAAGCAGGTGTTCGGATCAATCCGATTCGGATTAAACACTCAATCCGATCCGACTCGGATTGATCCGTCGGATTTCGGATCGGATCGGATTGTAATCCGATAATTTGATAAAATATATGTATTTTTCGGGTAACTTGATACCCTGCTTCGTCATTTAACTCACAATGCGATGGTGTGAATTGTAACCCTCCAATTTGGTTGAAATTTCGAAATTAAGTGGTCCATGCCAATACAACCAACGTTTCTTCAGGCAGTTTGTGCGATGGTCAAAATTTTGAAAAATATTTGTGGTTAAAGTTTAAAAATGTGCAATTTTGGGCACTGGAAGAGAATGGAAGTTCAGTTTGCGTCCTCCGCCTGGTGAAAATCGCCAGTTTTTGAACTTTGACCTAAGATATTTTGCCAAATTTTGACCATCTCACAAGCTGGCTGAAGAAACGTTGGTTGTATTGACATGGACCATATAATTTCGAATTTCAACCAAATCGGAGGGTTACACTTCACACCATCGCATTGTCAGTACCGGGTACCCGCCTAGGTAATTCATATTTTTAAGCAATTCATGAATCATATTGGAACATTGAATTGGAACTGAAATTTATCAACTTTCCTCAACCAGCTCGGCACGAAATTTGTTATTGAAGTTACTGTCTATAATATAAAGTAACAAAGAAATAATACCAACCATGATTTGCTACAAATGAACGATTTATGAGCCTAATTTGATTATTTAGTGATATTCAAAAATAACATTAAACAATTAATTCATTTAAAAAAAAGACCCCATCAAAAGCTTTTAAAGTTAATCCATTTAGGATTTTGTGCGTCTTTCAATATTCAGAAATACCCTGAAAATTTCTGTCCTTTATCTTAATAAGCAATAAATTGTAGATGAGACCTTATAAAAATGATTTCAATGACTTAAGCAATTTTAAGCAAACATGTTTAATTTCTGCAACCTGGTTAAAATTCAAAAAATTAGCGTTTTAAAAATTCCGACTTCGGCTGAATCTTTCAGCCGAAATAAGAATTTTCCAGGCTGAATGATTATTTAAAAATTATTTAAAAATGATTTAAAAATTCCGCGACGGGTAAAACATGCGCATGCAAGATATTGTTCAAACTATTGTGGATTCTATAACTAAACCGGATAGATTTGATTTTTAATTTCAACCCACCACCATTGTTAATCATGGGTACTTGATTTTGGAGTGTAGAAAATCCATCCCGTTTACATCGAGAAATCACTATATCGAATTATGAACCAGTGAAGTGAGACCCAGTTTATACGCAGTGCTAGTGTGTACATTTTGGGGGAATGTGAAATAAATTCGCCAATCCGAAATCCGATCCGAGATCCGATGACCAGTTTCGGATTGATCCGATCGGATTAAGCAGTCAATCCGATCCGACCGGATTAGGATCGGATCAGGGAAAATATAATATAAATACAATCCGATCCGATCCCAATCCGCGGATTTCGGATCGGATTTTCTCGGATCGGATTGCCACTCCTAACTGTAGGTTTTCTATTTTGTGTTACTGGGCCTGTCATCAGACCCAGAGTATGAATCGTTATCAAAATTTAATTTTCTAGTAATGTTAGCGATTTTTTAATTGAAACGAAGCAGAAGATGAGAATAGACTATCAAACTTAGAGTCAGGACTGAAGCTTCCAAAGTTATTGAGTCAAAAATATAATAAGACCCATCACCGTTAAAAAAATTACATAGAATTACGATATGCAAAATGAGAGGCTCCTTCCATTTAACAGGAGGGAAAATTTTGAGCATTAAGAGGTTGCTTTCCACTTAGGTAACTTCTTAAATATTTGGAGGGTGATTCCCATTGTTTTGGGGAGACATTAAATTACTTCCAATATTTATTTATGTACATTATGGGCATTCTTTACAGGCTTGCATGTTATTTAGCGTGGCAACATAACTTGAAAGCAAATTTCGAACTGAGTGAGTACTAGTCTTGGAAATGGGCAAGTTGGCAAATGAATTCTGAAACCATTTTTTTCGAACTTCCGAACTCTGTTTTTTTCAGGCTATCCAGACATTTTTTGCCTAACATTTCAGTATCCATTAAAATTTTCAATGTCGAATGCAAGAATTTTGAAATATGCATCTTACTTCTTAACACCTTTTATATAATGTTTTTTTTCAAAGCCACTGCTGGCCGGTGGAGAAAATACGGCATTTTGCAAATTTTACATCATTTAATATGTAGTACATATTAATACCGGGTTATCACCTTAAAATATGTATCTGGAACTCACCATATATTTCCGCCTCTACCGCATCAACTTCCGTAATCAATTCACAAATGGACTCCCCATCTCGATAATACTTGACCACGATAACCAACCCCAAACTGCAAGTGCCCGTCAACGCGACTAAATTCAGCACCGTGCCAGCATCTGAATTTGAGGAAAAAATTTGCCGCACCAATTGACCCACGAGGTAGGCCCATTGCAAAATATGGATCAGCATCACGATTCTGTTAAACACCACAAACTTCCCGGACGTTTCTGTCCCTAGTTTGCGAAGGAGGCGCACCCCTTTGAAATTCTCTGGGACCGGGTAAAACTCGAACGAATAAGGGTAAATTCCCCCATTTCGGAACAATTGATAGAAGGGAACGTACACACTGGCGCAAGTGGGAACGTATTTAGTGTCCTTTTGAATTTTGAGCTCGTTGGTTGGATGCATTGCGGAAAAATGGTGACTATTTTTGTCCAAAAGGTTTGCAGGACTGACAAATTGATGGCGGATAATGCGTGCTACATAATTCTAATATCAACTATTCTTAATAAATTGGGTGTTTAATCATGATGCGTGACGTATGCATGGCTTATCTATGTGCACATCTAGCCATGAAGTATGTGTTTGTATATATGTGCATATGTATGTATTTATATGCCTGTACATACATACATAGCGACAAGGTTCTGACCACGCCAAAGATATAGAAATGGGCAGATAATTCCTGATAATTTATTTCATTAGCTACATAAATAAATAGATAATTTGGGCGTATTACATCGTCTAGCAAGGAAACTAATATACCTAATCTTTCGCTCGTTTGATGAGTAATTCGGTCAGAATATTTCGTCAGTCGTTTTATCATACATGAACATAAATAAATGTGACAGGCGACATGTTCTGAGTGGTTAAGGTTAGGGCGAAGAAAAGTATTATGAAGGATGCTATTCTCCTTTCTCGAGGAGAAAGTATGGTGTAAATAAGTGGGGGAGTTGAGACACGAGAGACGTAGGAAGATGCATATTTAGAGAAAGAGACCACGGACTGAACCCCAAAAATGACTCATGTCATGGACTCCTGGACTCTGGAATGACATTCGTTTCAAACTGGCGAGATCGGAACTTTATTACATCTCTTACATATGTACTAGTCAGTAGCACGCATACACATACATACGCATTGCACTACAAGTCAGTGTGACACACATATATACATATGTATGTATATATGTATCTAGTAATAATTCGAGAAGGCGACGCATGGGCTTATGTATGTGCATGCATTAATATAAGTATACATACGTGACGGAAGGAACTGGGAAGTTGAAACAAAAATTCAATTTCAAAACTCCTATACAGTGGAATGTTTAATGAGGTTATTGCACAATAGGCAAAGAATAACTATTATTTTATTATTCCAGACAAAAAATTAATCATATTTAGCAGAAAATATTTAGCACAATTTTAGGCTGCGTGAAATTCTCTCAACTTGGAGAGCAAATGATTCTATGTAGATTAGATTTATAGATTACATACGTATTTATTTCTTTGTATAGAGTAGATTAGAAAATATAGTTGCAAATTTTTTTATATGTAATATGTGTTCAATTACTTGGAATAAAGGACATGAGCAGAAAATTTATCAATAATAATGGTGTCAACCTGCCAGACTTTGGGCAAAATTTGCAATTTCGATTATGAAGTTGCTTATGTAGGTATTCACTTGGATTATTAAAAAAAATATGTTCTCCTGGAATGCAAGTAGCATACAGTTATTGAAATATACAACTAAATTATACCGGTAACTAAAAATTCCCAGCCGATATGGTAAAGCTTTAATACCGAGCTACTTCTGCACAATGTTGCTTATAAATACCACTTGTGTAGAGTCATATATCTACATATGTATGAATACTATACATATACGCTTTTTCGAAATAAATATATGTAAAATGATTTCATGGAAACAACAATAATAAATACTATACATATACTTGGTATTATTTTAACACTTGGTTTCTACACCACTCAAAACAAAACGGTGTCAATATATGACTTAACCGCCTTGGTTACAATTGTGATTCCGAGTAGTAATGATTTTTTTTCCGTCGGGTCACAACATTATAACTACCTGTATCAAAATCATCATAACTCGGATTCAACATTGTAACCAAGGCGGTTAGGTTATATATTGACACCGGCGGTGTTGATTCGACAAATTTTTATTTCGAGTGTATGTAATAGTGTATCACTTAAAATGAAGTCCCCTATACCCCTCGTCCCTACACTCATTCAAAGTTTTCCTATAAGCGGGAATTCCCCCCGCAAAATTTAGAGGTTCTCTCCTCTTCCCTGGAATATTTGCCCCCTGATACCACGACTCCGCCTTTCGAAACAAGCTTATTTCCCAAACATGTCGCACCATCGCGACCCAGACGTCTTCCGCTTGTTTATCCGCCTCCACCCGCGCCCGCTTCTTCGAGCGCATATCCACCATCAAGTCGATCATCCAATCCGCCTGAATTTCGATACACGTCGGCCCGTTCGAGAAAGCAGTGGGAGCCTGCGGTCCATAAAGTAGAAACATGTTTGGAAACCCGGAAACCGTAATGCCCAAAAAAGTAGATGTCCTCTGCCCCCACTTTTCCGCAATGGAGGTCCCCCCTCCATTTTTGATGGAAATGTTTAAAATTCCCCCAGTATTGGTGTCGAATCCCGTGGCGAGAATGATCACGTCGACCTCAACGTGACGCCCATCCGCCGTTTTAATCCCGGTCGGTATAATTTCCAGGATGGGCGACTCCTTAACGTTAATAAGGTCGACGTTATTCTGGTTAAAGACTTCGTAATAGGATTGTTCCAGGGAGGGCCGTTTCGTCCCGAAGGGGTGAGGTTGGACGAGAGGGGCGAGTAAATCTCGGGTTGCCTCATTCTTCACCCGCTGTCTCACCTTGTCCCGCCAGAAAGCGTAAACTGCATTGTTGGCGGATTGATCGAAATATATTTCGGCGTAGTTGGCTAAAGCAAAGTTGAATCCGCCTATGGCCCAGGTCGACTCGTACAAAGATTTTCTCTGCTGTGGCGTCGAATCAGAAAACGTTTTAGGAGCGAAGTCGAAATCCATGCCGCCAAATGTTGTCCGTGTCTTGGCAAAGGCTTCTTTATATTGGGAGCGTTGTGCGAAAGGGACATCGCGAGATTTAGTTTGACGCAGTGGCAAGGCTAGATTAGGGGTTCGTTGATACACAGTGAGATGGTCGACGATGGGTCCAATTTCTTGAATGATCTGCACCCCAGAAGCACCCGTCCCCACCACGGCGACATGTTTTCCCCTCAGGGGGACATTTTCTTCTGGCCAATCAGCAGAATGGTAGAGTTGACCGCGAAATTTGTTTAATCCTGAAAATTCTGGGATGTATTTTTTAGAACAGGATCCAACACAAAGGATTAAGTGTCTCGTCAGCATTGATCTGCCGGACAGCGTTTTGACTTCCCAGAGATGTAGTGATTCGTCAAAAGTGGCAGATACGACACGAGTATTGAATTCGATGTCCTTCCGGAGGTCGAGGGTTTTATCGAGGTGTTCGAAATATCGGAGGATTTCTTCTCTCCCTGGGAACTTCTCGCTCCATTCGAAATTTGACCAGGCTTTCTCTATGGAAAGTTGATAAATCGGAATGCCGCTGTCTACCCGAGCCCCGGGGTAGCGATTGTGATACCTAAAGATCATTAAGTGTGATTTGTAATTGCTGCACTGTTAGAAATTTTGGATACTCACGCAGATATGTATGTATGTATTGGTTTTTCGGTTTAAAAATTTTACCACTTGCGGTATTAGAATTATACCGCTCCGTAACAATTTCCTATCGATATGATAAAACTTTCATAGCGATCTGGTACTACACGGTATTGCTTATCAACACCATGAGTCATACATGAACACCAGTTGGTATTGTTTAAATACTGGATTTCTAAGAGCGATTTCCTTTAAAATATGGAATGTACAGGTTAGTTTTCTAATTACCACGTGCCTCCAATTGCAGATCCCAGTTCCAAGATTTTGACGGAGAATCCAACCTCTCGGAGTTTCCAGAGTGTGTACAAACCAGAAAAACCGGCACCGATAATGACCCCATCCAACATAGGAGGGTTCGATATTATTTCCGAAAATGAGGCCGACATTATTTGGTTGCTTTTGGAGTATGTACATAAACAAAATTATATTGTATGCACATATCTTTTGTCAGTTCCAGACTGTGTGAGTATGTGGTATAGCCGGTGTCTTATACATACTTATAAAGCACAGTTGTGTTCCATTATGACGTCAGTAATGGTTGTATGAGATGTTCATAGTCATCAATAAAATTTTAAGGCTTGCATACACTCTAAATAAAAATAGAATAAAATGTAGCCAAGGTTGAGTAAAAAAAAAGAGGATGACACAAGAGTCGAGTAGAGTTATCCAACCGTTGTGTAGAATATGTCCAATTGGTATGAAATTTGTATCAACCATGGTATAAATTTTACCACATTACTGGATCATCATCGTTTTTACTCAACCTTTTGCACAGCTTTTATTTAGAGTGTGAATAGGATTTACCTTCCAATCATGTCTATGTTTGAGCATACTCACGACAATGCCTTATTTCGTATGAAAAATTATTTTGCAACCTTACAAAGTGAGAAAAACTTGTGTCGTAACGGGATTCACAAAATATGACTTGACCAATCTCTCAAAGCTTTTACTTATGTATAAAGCACCAATTTTTAAGTTGTGTCCATGCATCTCTAAAATTTCGCTGGCTGGTGATGTGAGAAATACAACTTGCTCATTTGCTATGCTGGGTTAACATATGAAAAAAATAATCCCGTGGTTTTCCGGCAATAGTTTTGCACAATCTCGCAAAGCCATGCAAGTTACATATTTTTCAATAAATACTCAATATGCGAAAGTTGACGTGAGTACGCTCTAAATATGTTAAGAAATATACATTGTCCTCCGATGCTGATGTAATCGATCTAATAAACAGTGCCCGTGCGACCCCAAATATTTACCCAGGCAAAATATATTTTAGCGCCCCTAAGTTTTCTCATATTTTTCTCATACTTTCCTCAAATTTTTCTCATATAGTTCTTATATTTTATGCAAATAATTTTTACGAGGCGTGAAAAGCTGTAATCATATTTTAAAATCGTACAAGAACTAATAATTCGATTTTTAACGAGCACAGCGAGAGAAATCAAAATGTACGTATTTTATATATTAAAATCCAGAAGCACACGGGACCAATTTTATTTTTTTCACAAGAAAAGTAAGCATTCCCAATGTTTTTTGCCTGTCTGAATTCGCTAATTTAAGCCCAATACTTTCATTGTAAATTGTTTTCTAGCCAAAACATGTGGTTTTTTTTAATTTTGGAACTTTTTCAATTTGAAAATTTCGATAAATTGTGATTGGTTACTTGACTTTGGTATTAGAAACTCGTCCGCAATATTTTTTAAAAATTTAAAACTTCACCGGAGTTTGCTTTTAGAGATTTCATAAACTTACAAAAATATCTTTAGTTTAAGATTTCACTAAAGTTGGTTTTTCATTAATCAAAGAATTCAATTCCTTCCACAGAAACATGTTTTTGAAGTTTTTAACACGCAGTAATATTCGAAAAGTTCTAGGTTGTAGTTCAAGGTTGTTCAAGGTTTATTGCCAATAAATTTATATTTATTGGCAATAAATATACATTAACTCAACCTTCCGCATGATCCATCCTTAATGAACCAATAACGATGGATCACGTATTTAGAAGGGCATATGTAAAGGCCAGGCAGACTAACCTGGACATAATTGTTGTACAATTGACGATGTCCATCATTTTCAATCGTCTAGGTTAAGGTTAGTTTATATTTTATCCTCCTTACTTGAGTATGTATATACGTAGTTAATATGGGATTATTCCCATTGCCTTATTGTTAGAAATAAGGTTCACGTGGAAAGGCAGGTATAATTTAACGAGTAAACTAATTGAACACGTAAATATGACCTTGGTCAGACAGGTTACAAATCCAATTGAATGCTTACATGCATTTTGTGTCTAAATTACTGAAATAAGTTTTCCTTATGTATGTTTGGTCGTTTTTTTAGTTGCATAAGTAATATATGCATGATACACTAAATATGGATCTACTTTTTTGGTATGTATGTACGTATCAAGGAAGTTATATATACCTAGTACTGCCATAAGTTTTGACCACTACACAAATTAATGTAGCCCACTCAGTTTATTGAATTTTTAAAAAATAACGATATAACGAGAAAGCCCATTAAATTCCCTACAAAACATACCAAGCAGATTTTAAAATTTCCTCCTTTCGAAGCTACAAGAGCCCAAAGTCTAGGTATCCACATCTCACTCGTGGTACGCACTCATTCCAAGGAATATTAGTCTCATTTCTAAGCGACAGATTTTTTTCTCGGATTTAAAACTTGTATGTGGTTTAGCACATGTATATAGCTTCAGTTTGGACCACATGTCATATTCCAGAAGATTGAGGTTCGGCCACAATGAATTTTATCCTTGATCCGAAATGGAGTCAGAAATTTTGGAATTTTACCCCATTTTTAATATTTTGGCCTTATGAGGAGGATCTGAGCCCTGCTCGAACATCTAGTGGCTATTTTTTAATAGGGTGTAGTCCAGTGGTTCTCCCATTCGCTCAACAACTTCAAAAAATATTATTTGACAAGAAATTTCACCCCTAGAGGAAGAAAATTCACTTTTTTGACCAAATCCAATCTACGCCGAATAAAAAAATCACAGAATCTGGATGGTGGGTCTGATTACTATTTTTAAATTTTTTATGAATAATATGGACTGGTGGGGTGTGGACAAAGTGCTTTTGCTGATTTTATATACCCTCAATTGTGAAAGTTTACTAATTTTTCAAAAATACTTATTTCCATTTTTCAAGCGCGTACCGCATGATCAGTGCCCGGCTTTTGAGGGTCCTATTTTTACTTGGCGTGAAGTTAGCAAGTGTTTCTTTTCACATCTTAAAAACATAAGTCCAAGGCCGAGTTTAGGGGCCTGGGACGTAGTTTTACTTGGCCCGTTCTTTTGTAGGGGAATTTTTCTTTGGGTCCGGCATGAATTCGGCCGAATTCAGGTTTTGCGCGCCTTCATGATTTTTTTGTGACCTTTTTGACCATTCCCGTCAACTCGGTTTTCGGCTATAAACACCACCAATATTAGTGGATCATTTTATGGTACGGTCGACCACTTTGCGTTTAGTTCCGATTTTTAATGAGCCATTGAAAAATGCCGGATTTTTATGTTTACCAAAATGTTTCTGAAAAATTGCAACCCCTCGATTTGTCCGATCTGTCATTTTAGCACCTTGTATCACAAAGAATTTCGGAGCATGGTTTCTGATGGACAATTGCATGGGGAATTCAATAAAAAATAGTACAACTGGGTAACGTAACTTCTACCGATGTTTTTGGAGCGCGGAATGCGTGAGACATAATATATGGCAGTAGTAGGTATAATAGATGCATGTTTACATAGAAATACACAAATAGCCTAATGCATATTACTACGTAAGTCAGAAAATAAATCATCACCAGAGGACGGATATGCATTTATCAAAAATTGCAGAAATATGTACATATTTAATCATTACAAAAAGAACGCCAAATATTTACGAATAAAAACCATAAAAATACTTAAGAGTATTTGCAAAATTTAAATTTTTTAATTTAATGTTCTGATTTTTTTGTGATTCACCTTCTTTATTTAGCAAAAAATCGTCTCACATCGTTGAAATAGATATTTACAAAGTACATATGAATGTATGTACGAGGGGACCACGGAAAGTATCCGTTCTGACCATGATGCCGGAATATATTTGAAATATTTATCTTATCACTTTTCGATATAAACGTTTGCGAGGTCATCACACTTGGTCCGCTCGAATTTTAAATACTCTTCTCGTCCACATAATTTTTTTAGTCTTGGTAGTCAAAAAGCGACAAAATTGCTGTGTTCACCTCATAAATCATTTAAAATCTCGTCCCCCTGAGGTTTTGTTTTAAATGTCGAAATGGGTAATAGTCACTAAGGCTAAGACCTCGAATGAACGGGGGATGAAATAACTCTGCCACCATTAGGATTAAAATGGCATCCTACGAAACTTTGGATGTTTGAACTGGATTTTTCATGTGGAAAAGTAGCAAGCGACGCGATTTTATTATTCAAGTTTTCTGTGTAGCCGCTATGCATTAAATTTCGAAATTTCTGCATTATAAGCCCCAGTTATCGTCGTTCTCAGAGCCAAAAAGTCCAGGGTTAGAATTCCTTCTGAGCCCTAAAAAGCGGTTGCGTTCACCTTGACGGCTGATTTTTTCCTTAAAACGGTATTTGTGGGTCGAGAGTCAGTATTCTTCCATGGCATGTTCTCCTGCTTACTATCAAGGTCATAACAATGTACCCAGACATCATCCCCGTTGACCAGTGCAAAAATAAAGTTTTATTTCTGTTTTGAAAGTCTAAAAATGTTTTGCGAAACTGGGCTCGAGTTATTTTTTGCTGAATGCTCAAATTCATTTTCCCTCGTATTACATTGACCTGTTTGAGGGGAGGATGTTCATGTGGGATTGTGAGGACACTTGTTTTAGGAAAGCACAAGTTCAAGGCTATCTCCCATTTTTTATTCAACCGTCGGCCATGACCAGGTCATTCAATTTTTGGGCGTTGATCTCGAAAACCTCAAAAATTGGTCGTTTTCGTCCCCCTTCGGATGCAACTTGTTTCTGTCAAGACGAAATGGCTTGGTCCATTCTCTCACTGTGGATAATGAAGGGGAAGGGTCAGGGATTAAATGGAGGGGTCGTTCATAAATAATAAATATCCCACACGGGGATCCCTTCCAAATTGGAAGTTCCTATGATAAATACTTTATCAGAAAACTCAGCTCAATTTTAGCGGTTTGGGTTGTTTCGCTGTTTTTGGTCACATCTGGCGACCTGCTCGACTCGGCCGTGACCGTGAATTTTTAAGCTATGAAATCTGAGATACATATGAGTTTATCTTTCATACCAACGAAAAAAGTGGGGCAAAATAACCAGTGGCGGGTATAGCCAGTTAGGGGCCCCTAGGTGACTTTTTCGTGATGATTTATTTAATATACTAACCAATGTGCAGACTGGGTTTCTTCGACTTTAATTTTAAATTGCTCAGCAACAAAGAAGCCTACAGTTTTGCTTATTGATGCGCTTGTTTTCGCATGTGGCGGAATTTTTAATTAAATTTCAGTCAAACGAAGGATTTTTCAAAACCCTATTACTTTTCTTATTTCAAGCCGATATGACAAGTTTAAAAAGTGGATTTCTAAAAATTACCTACCTCAAATTAGGAAAATACATTTCTAAATTCGTCTGATATTTAAAATTTGCATTCATGTATTTGACAATTTTAGCAAATGCAAAAGAAACTCAAATTACTGAAAATTTGATGTTTTTGAGAAGGAAATTTTGTAAAGTTATATAATGTAATTCTGAATAAACGTGTACTTCAATGATTGAAATTTGTTTAAAATTTGAAATGCTGCAGTTTTTTTAAAAAGTCATGAGCAACTCATGATGAGACGCTGAAAATAATCAAAAATTCCTTCACGGGTGGCAAAACTCGTATTCAACTAAATGCAAAATACGGGTTCTCTCATTTATTTATGAGAGTGAATAACTTATATTAAGATATTCTTTAAGTTAGTTCGGTGAAAATGTCATGAGCATGCCTGAGTTAAGTTAGCAGCCACACGTAATTTTGTCGATTTAATTAAATTATTAGTTCTAGCTTGACGGTGATAATTACATTATTTGCAAAGAGTTAATCTGACTTTCGTTCGGCAAGACGGGAAGCCAAGAATTCGCAACCCGAGTAACCGATTAAAGAATAGATTGAGAGAAATGTTATAATTTAAACAGAGCAAATTATTTTTTATTTGACCAAATAAGTATGCACAAAAACATGACTCGCAGGAATACGTTAAAAATCGTGTAATTTGGCTAGCCTGTCAAGGGGCCCCCAATTTTATTAAAAATTATTTATCTGGCAACAAATTTTGCGGAATCACGTGCAAAAATTATTGGAGCCCTTAAATAGTACGTTTTTCGTTTATGTCTACTTTATCTACGTATATATGTAGCTGCTTAACCACTTGCTCGGGGTTTCGCAAATTACTTGGAGCATGAGTACATACCACCAATTAATTCTTATATTTGCATTGCCGTAGTATCAGTGAATTTATTTTAGAAATTCGCTGGCAATTCTTGTAAAAATTTACGTATAGTCCCACCCTAGACTATGCATGCGGGGCCCCGCTGCGTGAGGGCCTCTACGTCACAAATACCTCACCTTCCCCGTTTACCTGGCACTGCACCGAGATGACGGCCGGCCTGGGGGTCCCCGCGCAGCGGGGGACCCTAGGTGTCACCTATGTCACATACCCGGTTTACCCGCCACTGAAAATAACCCTCCTTCAAGATACTTTCCGTGGTCCCCTCGTATGTACATATGTATTTCTGCTAAAATATCTAAAGGATTTACGTATTTTCAAATAACAATAAATATTTATAAACAAGTTTAAAAACCTAGAAATATGTAACAATATATAAAAGTATTTCGAAATTCTTGTAATTTATAAGAGTTAGGGAAAACACCCACTAAGTTTGAGCGTCGGTCGCCATCAAGTGGAAAAGTTTAAAATAAAAACATATCCGCCCTCTGATTATCACACCTGTAATTATGCATGTAGTTTCGTTGGAATGGGTCATCAAAATAGGAAATAATTTTACATAATGACCACTAAGTCGTAAAACTCGAGTACACAACGCCAACAAAAATCCCCTGCCAACAAAATCCACATAAATAAATTCATGAAATGTATTACAAAAGTATTTAAGAGCTTTGTCAAACTGAGAGAAAATCATAACAGATTTGCAGTGCAGAAAAAGTTTCATTATTTCACAGTAAAGTCAAGCGTCCAAATTGTTTAAGAAAGTTTAGCTTGTTTCTTAAAATTTGATAAGTTTCTCAAAGTTTTTGGAACAATGTCACGATATTTAGCCGCATTTCTCCTCCTAATCGTAGCCATTTTTGCTCTTGCGGAAGGTAAATAATTTTTTGTTGTCATTCAAGTAATTCATAAAATCGAAAAAATAAGTAATTATGTGCAATACGTTAATTTTTAGAAGTTCCTGAATGCAACGGAGTCTGTGGCAGACCTGACGACCAGGAGAACGCATGTTGTGTAGCGCACGGTTACTTTGCAGGGATTGGATGCCAAAATGGTCGAATGTTCTGTGGGCCTCATCACTGATCAGATGCATACAAGTTTGCTCGTAGATTAAAACTTTTATGGAAGTTTGGGGGACGTTGCTAAAGTGAATTGTTGAGTATTTGACTAATAAATTTTGGAATTGGGGTGAATATTTTGAATAGATTTCATAATTTTATTTTTGCGTTGCATAACCGCATTTGCATATCACATAGGCATAATATCATTGGACCCCACCCACTTATTACGACAATTTAGTTAGAATATTTGTACTTATATAATTTGTAATTATATAAATTCTCTCACCCAATTAAAACAAGTGCGCCGCCGTTTGAATCACTCTTCTTGGAACGGCCAGTAACAAATTAATCGTGTGTGTCACCAAAATAACGAGACATGTCACTTTCGTGTTTCGTTTATAGATGAAGAACTTGTATCCTGCCTCCATAGGCGAAATGGTGATTTTCTTGAGTGACCTGAGTTCTTTGAGAGACTTCTTTCTGAATTCTTTTGGCTGACATGTTGTGAGCAGGGGCAAAATTCCCAGCAAATTGTGCGAATTATCGAACACATCGTGCAAACAAGGCATCAGGACGTGAGTTATGATTAAAATCATAATTGCAATGCATGGAAATATCGTGTAAAATCAGATTGGCAGGATCGCGTAGAATTTAAAAGTTACAAAGTTGCACAGGATACCATTTGCTACCCCTAAACTTTGCCCAAATATTGCGGTGCATCGAAGTCAACCGGATGGATTTGATTTGAATTTCGGCCCGCCTCCAATGCTAATCAAGTGGGCACGTGATTTTGGCGCGTAGAAATTCTGTCCGGCTGACTTCGATCCACCGTAATAGGCAAATGCAACCAAGGTAGGCTTCCATAAATACCGCAATGATTTGAACTTGGCGGTACTGCGATTCCGCGAGAATACCGCGCATTCTCGTAAGAATGACGAGGAATCGGGTGGAATTTCGGAGAATTAAAATATTTCCTACAGAAAACGCAGGTAGACATGCACATAAATATACTAATATGTGAATATAATTTTTTCTTTAAGGTTAAGGTTAGGGATTTTTAATGTTCGACTCCTTTGTAGTCAGCTTTTTCTACGTGTAATTATGTGAAATATTGAGCTTTCATTGTACCATGCATTAGTCAATTCTGAAAAATAAATTTTAATGGACTAATATAGGAATATACAGAAGGCGGGTATGAATTATGTATTATGTATGTACATATTACGAAATATGTACATCCATATGTATGTAAATAATATGACTGTATTATGTGTTATATTTACGAAAAATCATGAAATAGTTTCGAAACACGTGCGAAATCAACAAAAGAATGTTCGCCAAAGTATAATGCTTTGAATTTAAGTTGCCCAGGTTCTGTCGGCACAGAAATTTCGTCACGTTTCATTAAAATATTCACAAACTATGTACACACATGTATGCCTTTTGGAAAAGATACCTAAAATATTTTCTTATTTTACTGGTTTATTAAGAAAAGTACGAATTTAAGTTTTGTCCCAATTGATACCTAAATTTGTTGCAAAAATTTGTTTTACATTGTAGTCTTTTGTTTCCAAATAAACACAAAATCAAATTTTTTGCTACAACTAGACTAGCTTATTAAAAGGAGCCGTCGAAGTATCAATGATTAATATTTTTGTTCACCCGGTGTATTATTTTGTCTCACCTTTTCTTTCCAAATTATTTTTCGCACAAAGTAAAGTATTCCAACCCATGACACAATCTCTCCCGTACAAAATCATTCCCAGGTTGATCGCAAATGTGGCCGCTGCTGAGCACAACTGCATTACAAGGAGGAACAAGTAAGCGGCAGGGAGTGGGAGATAACATTTGAATATTTGAATATTAAAATGACCACGAGTCCGCCAACTGAGCACAATCCGACTCCAATAAATGTATGAAAGTACCAGAGATAATTTTTAAGCCCTTGAGTACGGAACAGTAATTTTGTCGTTTTAGGACACCACCGTAATATATCCAATTGTGTAAAATTGGTGTAAAATTTGTATAACCGATTGTTGTGGCATCCTCACTTTTACTCAACCTTGGGCAAATTTAGGACAACTTTTATTTAGAGTGTGGGCAGGATTTACCTTCCAAATGTTTGAGCATACTCACGAGGATGTCTTATTTCGTATGAAAAATCATTTAGCAAACTTAGAAAGTGAGAAAAACTAGTGTCTTAACGGAATTCGCAAAATATGACTTGACCAATCTCGCAAAGCTTTTACATACTTCGGTATGTATAGAACACCAATTTTTAAGTTCAAGTTACATATTTTTCAATAAATACTCAATATGCGAAAGTTGACGTGATGACGCTCTAAATATGTTAAGAAATATACATTGTCCTCCGATGCTGATGTAATCGATCCAATGAATATACTTACATTAACCTAACTTTCCATCCTTAATGAATCAGTAACGATGGATCACGTATTTAGAAGGGCATATGAAAAGTCCAGCCAGATTAACCTGGATATATGTAATTACCATTTATTTCCAAACTTATAGGTTAGTTTATATCCTCCGTAGTTGAGTGTGTAGGTAATTGGTAGGATTATTCCTATTGCCTTATTGTTAAATTTAGTTTAGAAATACGGTTCATGTGGCAAGGGAAGCATAACTTAACGAGTAAACTAATTGAACACGTTAATACGAGTTTGGTCAGACAGGTTACAAATCCACTTGGACGGTGTCCATATCAAACCTTGAAGCCTTGGCAGCTGGATTTTTTAATTTTTAATTTCCATCAAAAATAGGTCACAGACCATGAAATTAGTGTAACAAAAGAAAATTTTTTTTAAAAAGTTGCCCCCAACCATCCGCTATGGCCATTATTTTGAGTTTGGGTAGGGTTCGTATTTAGTACGGCGATTTTTTTGACAGTTTTTAAGCTTGGAAGTTGAAATTTCAGATTGCACATCATCTTGAGTGTCCCGAGGCCAGACTTTTTCGTTTTAAGGTCTATTGTCGAAACTGACCTCAAAACCGGTCACTTTTCGACATGCCCATTTCCCCATGGTTTTATACATATGATGTCAAGTCTCATATAGCCCCATAAATAGGGTATCCTGAGAAAGGTCTCGACCATATGAAGCAATCCTCCTCGTCGTCCTGAAGAAGACCCTTGGAGGTCGAAACGTTGACAAAAAAGGCCTAATCCGGGCCCCTCCAAGTGAGCCCTTATCCTTTCAGTTTTCCTATTATATCCTCACTGCACAATTTACATATTATAACATCTCACAACACTGGATACATTTTATCAAATAAGTTCAAATCTTCATTAATTGTAAGATCTATGTATAATTTCACGGAAACTGTGCTAAATTTTACTCGAATTTTAAGTGATCATTTACCTAGTCGTATACACTCAAGTGTCAATAGCTGATTGCTATAAAACTACGCCGCAGAATTAAAATCTGATAAGTGCATTAGATTCGCCATGCGATTTACATTATGATTCACTATTGACTTTGTAATTTTTGAACATCTGGATAAATATATAGGAAATTGAAGAGAAGCGGGCGGCTATGGGTTTTCACAAAATAGAATCCAAGAAAAATAGTGAATTTGACATGTGTTGAAAAAGTCAAGGGTGTACTTTAATTTAGCCCAACGGATTATAAAAACGTTCATGGGGACCCAATCGACTAAGAACAGTCGAAGAAGAATTTTTTGAAAACCTCCAAGGACCACACCCATCGTGAAGCCTCTCAAGCCTGGAATCCGAAGAAATTCACGAAATTCCAACGGAAACCGGGCTCACTGCTGACAGTGTCGATGCAAATTATCAAATGAGTGCTCAAATTGAAGCTTAGGCTTAAGGCTTTGAAATGTGGTACTTGCCACAGCCTGATCGTACCCCAAAGGAAAGCCAGATTAAAGAAATGCAGCAGTCACCTCAAGCGGTACGCTCCAAAAAGGTGAGCAGGATTATTTTTACAAATGAGGAGATTTTCACATCCGAAAAATCTTTTAACAAACGAGTTGTCCTAATCTACGCATAATCGGTCAGAGACATCCCCCGATATAGACAAAAGGTCAGAAGGTCACATCATCCAGGTTTTTTGATGTTTTTGGCAGGTTGGAGCTGATTGGGTCAATTTTGCTACATTTTGCTGAAAATTGGGGGGAGGTGGGGGAATCAAATTTCTTAAAATATGTTTTTGAGTCCGTGGTACATCCCCTAAGTGAGATCCAATTCAATGGAATCGATGGGACCTCTCAGCAGGACTCAGCACGAATTTATAGTGCAAAAAATGACCCAAGCGTAGCTAAAAAAACAAATTCCGGTCTTTATCTCCAATCAGAAATGGTCATCATCCTTGCTGGATTTGAATCATCGGAATATGAAAAATGGTCAAAGTTAAGGGCAAAGGTGTGTTCTAGGCCCCGTAGAAGTGCGGAGGCTTGGAAAAAATTTCTGACCCCGGAATACCACAAAATGTCCCTGGAATCTGTGCGTAATTCCATCGAGGAGTGGTCGTCCCGTCTTCAGCGTGGCATTGACGCAGGAGGAGGAAATTTTTAAGACTAAAAATTGTTTTTGAATTGAAATTTATCTGGCTTTTCGGTAAAATAAATCAAAGATTGCTAAGTTGAAAGTTACAAAAGTAATAAAGCTATATGTCATTGATACTTGAGTGTATACGACTAGGTATAAAATCATTCTAAATTATTTTCATACATACGTACGAGGGTGTTCCTATAAAGAGCTTGAAAACGCGGATCCCTAAATCAAGCAATAAAAAAATTAATCTCATGCTTCAACAAAGATTTATTTCATTGCTTAATGTAAGTTAGCTTTATTGTTTTCCTTAATAAAGATACACGCAGAAAATTGAGTTACATATTTTCCCATGCCATGAATTGTAATACTGCATATAACATCTGCAACATGAAGTCTAGTGAAGCACGTAATTTTTGAAGCTCATCTAACAAGAGATAGTTATGACACCGGGCATGACGTTTCAATTTTCCTTACTGTGTTTGATTTTGTAGCGATCGAACAAACCCAATTCTTTAGCGTGCTGTAAATCTTTTCGTAAAACATTCCATGAATTCGGAATGGATTCTGGATAATCTGACGGAATTAATCGCTCTAACTTTTCACTTAAGTAAATGCTCTTATTCCCACGAATCCATGACATGTACATTGGGAGCTCAGCGTCTATTAAGCTGTAAAATTGAGCTTTATAAGTTAGTGCAAACTGAACTAGTTGCAGCATATCAGCCTCAAGTTTTTCATTTTGCTTCATATCTTCCACCGTTTTTATGAAGTCGTCCGGGTCCAATGTCTCAATTTCGATCCCAAATTCACACGCAAGGTCCTCAAAGTCCACCTCATCACCTTAAATAGGGTAATAGGTATAGTTCTAAATACATTCATTTATACCTTTATGGAAAATATTTGTTAAATATATTTTACCCAAATGAGGATTGAAGACGTTGAACATCTCTAATCCCGCATTGGGGTCGAAAAATAGTTGAACAGATAACGTTGAGCAGAGGTCCACAGGTAATAGAGAAAACGGAACGTTTTGCGCTGGCATTATCCCAAGATACATATATGAAAAGAATTGCATCATCATAAAGCTGTCGATCAGAGAATTTGCTCCAGTCGTAGAGTGTCCACCTATCTGCGGAAACCGAAAACTTTTGCAAGGAATGCCATTTTCTACAGCTTTCGCTATTAACCGGTCACAGATTAACTTCGAAATTGGGTAGGCTGAGTTGGGTAGCAATTCCAAAATTTCCTCATCCCCCCAGTCCTCCAGCAATCGGTGATTTTCACTTACACGAATTTCAGTGACAATGCTAGATGCATGGTAAACGTACTCTAGTCGTCTGCTCACTACAAACTCTAAAATGTTTTTCACACCGAAAACATTCGTTACACGACTACTCATCGGGTCATTCGTCTCACTGTAAAACTCATCGAAGGCAATCTTGACAGCAAGGTTAAAGACGGCGTGCACTTCCTCCGAAAGTTTGGTATATACAGCCTCATCCATTCCGAGTTTCGCATGCCTAACATCTCCCGTCACAAATTCAAGTTTCTCCATGTCAATCTCGCTCAACAAGTTTTTAGTCGACATGAGCTTTACGAATCGGTCTCTTGCAGACTGCATTGCGTTATATTTCATAAGACAAACTACCTTTTTTACTGATTGTTGCTTCAGCAGGTCAACCAGAACATATGACCCTAGGGTCCCCGTCGCACCCAACAGGAGAATACATTCCACTTGGGACAGTGGAACAAGAGTTGATGTAAGTCTATTATCAATTTTGTTCTGGTGCACTAAGTTTATATCCTGAGATATTAGTTCTCTTAGTTGTTCTCTTGTTGGAGGTTGGTGCTCTTTCCCAGATATTAGTTCAACCAGCTTTCCCGATAATTCGGTCACTGTTTTGCAATCCTTGACAGCAGTTATTGAAATTTTTACCCGCTTACCAAATGAGGATTGAAGTCCATTTTTTACCTCAACCATAAGTAAGCTATCCATTCCTAGATCTTGGAAGTAGAAATGGTCTTGGATCTCTTCGGTTTTGTCCATTTTTAGAGTAATTCGCAGGAGTTTCTTCAAAAACTGTTTCATTACATTTATTTTTTGCCCATGATCCTGACCAGCATCATATTCTTTCCAAAATCCATCTGAATCGATTTCGCTTAAGCTAGTGCTTTGATTTTGTTCAACTTCGGATAAAAGCCCACGAGTGGAGTTTAGAACTTGTCGCAAAGAGGCGAGATCGGCGTCGTATGCAGAAACTTGAATCTTATGAGATAGTAAAGCATGTTCTAATGCGGCAATTCCTTGATGTATCGTGAAAGGTTTGAAGGGAGGAAGGCTCATGTTTGCTGCTAGTCCAACTTCACACCACTGCCCCCAATTTATGCAGGTTACAGGCAGTCCGTGCGAATACCTGTAGTGTGCTAAAGAATCAAGATATTGATTTGCTGCAACATAGTTACTTTGGCCGAGTGATCCTAAGGTGGCTGCCATAGACGAGAAAAGAACAAAATGTTCAAGCGAGTACTGCAATTTGAGACTTGTTTGATGTAAATTCCAAGCTCCGTTAACCTTGGCTTGGAAAACGTTTTGATATTTTTCCCAAGTATGGTTCTCCCAAGTTCCATCATCCAAAATTCCTGCTGCATGCATAATTCCTCTAATTGGAAGCATTGTTGCTGCTACATGTGTAAAGAGTTTCTCGACGTCATCTGGGTTTCCAATGTCGCATAATTCGATTGTAAGGTTAACTCCCAAACGTTTAATTTCATCAATTTTAACTAAGGCTTCTGGTTTTGGTGATCTACGGCCGACCAGAAGGATGTTCCTCGCCCCGGATGATGTCATCCATTTAGCCACCTCAAGTCCTATTCCTCCCAAACCACCAGTAATAAGGTAAGTGGAACTGTCATTAAACAAGGGGAAGGAATACGAGCCGATAATCTTCGGATCAGGCTCAGGCATTGTTAAAACAATTTTGCCGATGTGTTTCACCTTCTCCATATATTCCAGTGCCTCCCGAATTTCGGACAACAAGAAACGAGTATATGGCAGTGGTCTCAGTTTAAAGTCAGTTTCACCAAATATGTGTGATTGTAACAATTTTAGCTGGTCTACTAGTTTACTTTCTGGAATAGTAGAAACATCAACAATTTGGTAATGTATATCTGGACGCAATTTCTGCACCTGATCTTCGCTCCAAATATTTATTTTGCTCATTTCTATGAATCGGGCCCCCTCATCGCAGAGCTCCAAGGTGGCTTCCTTGTATCCGGGTCCCGTTAATGAGTTAAGCACAATATTTACGCCCCGACCAAGTTTATCCCGTATATCTCGGCCATAATCTGTATATCTGGAATTGAAAATATTTTCCAATCCTAGGCTTCGCAGATAGTTTCTTTTTCGATGATTTCCCGCCGTTACGACAATTGTACATCCTATGTGCTGCGCCATCTGAATGGCCATTAACCCAACTCCACCAGAAGTAGTGTGAATCAGAACCACGTCGTCCGGTGTCGGTTTCGCAGCATCTAGTAAACAGTTTGTTGAAGTTAGTACCGCCATTGGAAGAGTCGCTGCTTCAACGAATGTCATTTCATCCGGAATACTTATTACTGCTTCTTCCGGGGTAACTCTGTGGCTGGGCATTGCTATTCCGGTTCTGCGGGCCATTAGGATACGTTCCCCAACTTTCCTTGTGCAAGAGGTCCCAACTTTTTTCACAACCCCAGCGATATCCATGCCCATGTAATTGAATTTGTCAAATACCGGATCTGGTTTTGTTACCATAAAAACATCCAGGAAGTTTAATGCGTAAGCTTTCACTTCAATTTCAACCTCATTTGGGGCCAATTGTTTCAGATTCAGCCGGGGAAAAATAAAGATCAGATATGATATGGGATTGCGGCAGGATAAGTTGAAATCGATCTGATGTTGGTATATTCAAGTAATTTGTTTTAACCTTGTATGGTCGTAACCTTTGAGTACACCGCTTTTGATTTCTGTAAGCAACCACTACGTCAGTGTCGTCCATAAATATTTCGGTTACTAATTCTATAGCAGAATTACGGGAGGTATCAATGTCCACAGACTTGCATTGAATATCGGGATTTTCATTAGCCAGAACATTTGTCATTCCTATCAACGGTGATGAGATGGGATTACGGGAACAAAAGTCAAACGATCCAGTCGATAAATTGCCCTGAGTCACAGTCAGGAGCTTAAGAGAGCGTTGCAATTTGGCCAAGGATTGACATACGGTTAGATACGGTTTACAAATGTCTTCTGTAGTGGCGTCATCACGAAGTCCCCATAAATAGATTACACCAACCCAATTGTCCTCGCAAGTTGATGCAGATGTTAGTATTGTTTCAGTTTCGTCTCTTCTATCCCACGAGATGCTCTGAACCACAAAATTAAGTCCATGAAGTTCACCAATCACTTCAGTAGACAGGAAGGATTCATCGGAGAATATAATCCAGACCCCGGGGTGATTACATTTTGTCCCTCTTGGTATTACTGGATCTGACTTGAGTTTTGCCATTACTAAAGCATTAGCGCCGTAAATTTGCAATGTAAGAATATCCTCAAAACCGCAATTTTCTAGCTGGCTGGTCCAATTGCTAATCGACTGCAATTGTTCGTAATTCCATGGTCGCGTATAAGTATCTTCAAGTTTCCAGAATCCACTGAGCCCCCCAAAAGTTAAGTTAAACTCTCTATTTGAGGCAACCTGTGCCGTTAACAAAATAATACCTCCTGACCTTAATAGCTTTCTCATGTGCATCAATGCTTCTTGAATATCACGAGCTGCATGAACGACGAAGGAAGTCACAAGTATGTCGTAATGCGCAGGAATTAGTCCCTGTGAGAAAGGATCCTTATCCAGGTTAAAGAGACCGGCCTTTGCAGAAATTTCAGTCTCTCTGATAAGTTTGTCGCCCTTCTCTAAAAACTCAGGGGATATATCCGTGTATGTATATTCAAAATGGGATGCCCCAATCTTTGCTATGTTGTCCAGCATTAATGATGTTCCAGACCCCAACCCAGCCCCACATTCCAGTACCCTCACCACAGCCTTGTTCGCGGAATTTGCAAATAGAGTTAGGATTTCGCACACCACATCATTCAGGACGGCCCTACTTTGCATCATAAAAGATTGTTTGTAGAATAATTCGACTACTCCAGATTTTTCATTTCCAGATAACAACATTTGTAGGGCCTCAAGCTTCCCAGTTAGTATTTTTGATAAAGTTTCCCAAACGTTGTCCACCCAGGGTAGCGGCTGCGTAGTCAGTGTTTCGAAGGGCTTCAATTTGCTTCAAAATTACATCCAGATATGGCAGTTGCTTCAGTAGTTGATATCGGTTGTCATCAATTTGATTTATCCATCCATCCTTCCCAAGTTCAAGAAAAATGTAGCGAAGAAAGTTGCTTAATGATGGAATTATCGCAAATTTTTCACAAATTTCTGATAGTTCCCACATATTGTCGTCCAATTTTAATTCCACCATTGCCTTTAGCATGTAGAGGCCTGCAAGTTTTCTTATATCTGAACAAAATTTAGCTTCAGTTTCCGTCAAACTATGACATCTGTCGAGCATGCTTGAAGAATCTTTCAGGCAAATATCTTGATTGTTACTTCTCCTTTCGTCTGGACCGAGCCATTGTTTCCAATCAATGTCGGCCATAGTTGGATAGGGTCTTCGATGAGAATCAATAAGGGCAAGAATATTTGGAAGCGTAGTATCCACGTATTCCGTTCCAATCTAGGAAACCATAAGGTCGCCATGTTCATTATATAGATGAGAGTCAAATAGCTCGGAATTCCTACACTTACTGAGATAGACATATCCAGAACCTTCATAGACGTTGTCTGGTCCCCACCATGTAAAACTCTCAATTTGTACCGGGACGGCGAGCCGTTTCAGATGCTCCGGATGTAGATGGCCAAACGCTACAAGTGGGGTTTGTAACATGGGGTCCACGGCCCATGGGTGAATAATAAATCTGTCCAAATCTTCAGGTGATTCAAAGTCGTGAATTTGAAGATAAACTCGTCGTTCGAATCACTTTTCCAACCACCCTGTACAACGCGTAGTGAGGGCCCAAAATTAAATCCGTAGTCAAGAAGTTCATCGTAATCGTACATTCTATTTGCAGCCACTTCATTTGAGCATCTAGCTTTAATTTTTGCAAAGTCATATAACATCGGATCAGAAGGGGAAGGCGTTATGGTTGCAAAATTTGCTGAAGCATTTCGAATCCATTTGTATTGTTTGTCCTCCATCTTCATCCTTGTGAAAATTGTCACAAAAGTCTTCCCATCAGAGTTATCTAGAGTAATCTACATACGATAAATTAAAAACTATGTATCAGTAACATATTCCATACACATACTGACATTGACTCTTGCGTAAGAACTGACCTGAAATTCTGTCGGGCTCGCTTCGCTCATGCAAACCGGAGTGTGAATTTCAAAATTTTGGATACACAAAGCTTTTAGTGGTTTAACAAATACACCATCGGGGCAATTAGCTGCCGCGTACCCAGCAGTCATACACATATCCAGATAACCAGCACAAGGAAACAGCATTTTATCTCCCACTCTGTGATCTTTCAAAAACGGCACGCGGTTGACATTGATATTGTTTTTGAAAACGGTTACAGCGCCAGGGTTGGGAACAAATCCGCCAAGTAAAGGATGAAATGGAAGGGAACCATCGTCATTGAATGTAATCCAGTGGCTGTGTTGTTCAAAATGATAACCAGGAATTTCAATTTTGGTTCCATCCGAATATCTGTGAATGTTTTCCCAATTTATAGGAACACCAAATGAGTATAGTCTGCCCAACGAATATAACATAGTCTCCCATTCATTTGTTTTCCGGCGTAAAGACGGAACTGCAGATATTTCATTGGATATCTAATAATAAAAATTGAGTAAACCCAAGGCTTTTAGCTTAGTGATTTATGTAGTTGACAAAATAATTACCTCATCCAAGTTTGTCAAAATCAAGGCAGATAGAACTGGATGTGGTCCAATTTCTAGGAACATGGTCAACCCCTCTATTTCAGCCGTGTTGCTGGCATCGAGGAAGCTAACTTTTTCCCGGGTATGTCGCCACCAGTAGTTTTTGTCAACCTCTGATACAACTCGCCCCTCGACGCCTGATATATACTTGCATTTATTTGGCTTTCTGAATTTAATCGTCGATAAAAGTTGATCATAATCCTCAAATATGGGGTCCATCAATTTAGAGTGAAAACCGTGGGACGCGTCAAGGATGTGAGTCTTAATTCCATTATTGTCACAATATGCTTTGAAATCATTAATCGCGTGGCTTGATCCAGACACAACAGTTTGGGTCGACGAGTTGACAGCGGCAGTGTCAAGCCAGTTATTAGTGTTGGAAAATGCTCTGTTCATTTCTTTTTGAACAGTATCAACATTGCAAGCAACGACAAGCATACCCGACGATGGGAGAGCGTCAATGAGTTTGGACCTGGTGACCACCAACCTGATAGCATCCGCCGGTTCCAAAATTCCAGCTGCTACCGCTGCCGTAAACTCTCCGAGACTATGGCCCAGTACAGCTTCTGGTATAACACCCCAAGACTCCCACAATCGAAGTAGGCAATATTCTATGCAAAATATTGAAGTTTGACTGTACAATGTCGAACTTAGCAGACCACTTTGGTCGTCTTCCCAAAGAGCTTTCTTAAGTTGCAATCCATACCGCAAGGTCAAGATCGAGTCACACCAATCGAAACTGGATCTGAATAGGGCGCTTTGATCATAAAGAGATCTTGCCATGCCTGTATACTGCGAACCTTGACCTGTAAACAAGAAGCAGAGCCGAGGTGGTGTGGGGAGCACACCTAGTGGTTTCTGGATAGATTCAATGGATGATAGAAGTCCCTCTTTTGTGGATCCGATGACAACTTTTCGAAGTGGGAAATGGGGCCGTGATGTGTGCATTGTGTACTCCAAGTTTACTAGTGAAATAGTGTTTGATGATTCAAGCAAATCTTTATAAGCTGCCACTTGCGCGTTCAATGCTGCCTCCGTTTTTGCCGAGAATGTCAGAATTTTATGTTGTCGCGTATCTCTGGTGGTAAATATCCTTCGTGGCTCCTGTAGCGGTGGTTCTTCTAGAATCAGATGAGCTTGAGCTCCTGTTAATCCAAACGAATTGATCCCAGCAATTCTAGGTCGCCCATTGTCCTTTCTTCCCCATGGAATAGCTTGGAGCGGTAGTTGAGCTGGGATAGCAGCCAAGTCTATTTCTGGGTTTAGTTGAGTAAAGTTCAAATGTTTCGGGATGAGATTATGATGCATTGCAAGCACAGTTTTATGGATCCCAGCAATCCCGCAAACAGATTCGGTATGCCCGATGTTTGTCTTCACGGATCCAATTACTAACGGTTCCCGGCTAACAGATGAGTAGACCTTGGCTATAGCAGCAACCTCGATCGGATCTCCTATGGGTGGCATGATCAATGGATGAATGAGCGACTGTAAAAGCCGACGCCATAACAATCTTGAGTAAATACCCACCTATTCGAGTGCCTGTTCCATGCGTCTCCACGTAGTCCACATCATCGGGAAAGATGCCGGCTCGGTTGATGGCCAACTAGTTTAAAATCAAAGGATAAATTTAGATTATAAGTTGTTAGCTAAATAGCTTTGCCAGTATAAGGGGTGGTTCATTTGATTAGTGCAGTTTCGTATCTATAAAATCTATATAATCCCATAAAAGCTATTAAATCCATACTGGAACGATTATTTATTAATTCACAAATAATTTTAGTTTCCAACCTGCATGGCTTTAGCTTCCACATTTACAGTTGGAGTACCCATACTCCTGCTTGTTCCTTCTTGAACGACGGCCGAGCTCCGAATTACTCCCCAGATCCTGTCCCCATCTAAAACTGCGTTGGACAGTCTTTTTAGGATTAAAACACCCACTCCCTCGGCTCTTCCAAATCCATCAGCCGCTGCATCAAACGTCTTGCATCTTCCGTTGGGTGCCACAAATCCTTCCAATAGTCCTGGTGTAAATGGATGGAGTAATAAGTTAGCTCCAATTGATATTGCAACATCGCAGGCTTCATTTCGTAGACTGTCGAAAGCCATGTCCACCCCTGCAATCGAGGTGGAGCAGCCACTTTCCGTGGAAAAACTTGGTCCAATAAGTTCAAAAAAGTGCGATATTCTTGCTGTGAGGGGTCCCAGTGAATTTCCCATGTAACAACGAATGTAGTCAATATCGATGATTCCAACTTCCTGTATCATATCCTCGTACTCATTACGCCACCTATTTTGCAACTTTTGATGTGTAATTGTATTTCTTTAAATATCGGTCTTTAACATACCAGCCACCAAACACCCCAGTCAAGGAGTTTTTTAAAGAGTTGGGTCAATTCCAGCATCCTCCAAGGCCTCCCACACCACTTGCAGAGAAAGTCTTTGTTGTGGGTCAATTAGCTCCATCTCAGCCAAATTTATCTAAAAAACTTGGCGTCGAAGGTATCAATGGGACAGGAAAGGAATCCGGCCTGCGTATTTCTCACGTTTTCAACGCGAATAATGGAATTTTTTTGTGTCCATCGACCCTCCGGAGCCTTCCTTATTCCATCCAAACCCTGTTCCAGTAAGTCCCAAAATTCTTTAATAGAGTTCGCTCCAGGATAACGACACGCCATTCCAACAATCGCTATCGGGCAGATGGGATCTCGTCGGGTGGATGTTGATATTTGTAGGTGACACATATCTCGCTGCAAATTCAATAATTTCATCAGGTTTTTACTATGGTTCCTCGGTAAGTGCCTCACTAATCTATGCATCTGTCAAGCCTCTTTCGTACCACTGATTTTTAAATAAAATTTCCCAAAATTTAAATAAACAATGTGGATTGAATAATTACACTTGCTATCAATCAACTAAAATTTTCAACCAGTTACCAATTTTGGAATTTTTTGACGGAAAACACGAAAAATCCACTTTTTAACATTGGTCGGTATAGGGAAAATTCCAGAATTTCAGAAGGAAAAAAAATTATCTGAAAAACTCCACTTTCGAATTTTGCACAAAATACGCTTTTTAAAGAAATTTTGGTGTAAGGGTAATTTATGCAATAAAAAAATTTGTGTATTTCGTCGCGAAATACAATAATACACAAATGTGTGCACCTCGTCGTTAAACGGTTAACCTGTGAACGACGAAGGCTAAGTAGACACATTAATAGTGTAGGATTACTTACCTTCTTTTCTTCAGGAGAAATAAGCGAATTCCAAAACATTTTAAGATCTCGTCTTAGGACACATTGATTTGTTATCCCTTGTTGGTCAACTTCCTCGTTCGGATGGCCATTCAAGAAACAGATCATTTTAATCTCGTTTCCTGATAGCTGGGTAGGATTTGAGCTATGATAATATGACACAATTAGTATGCTTAAGTACAATCAATACTTGCATTTATATTTTTGACGTATGTATTTATGCAATTTTCTTGTAACAACGAAATACTACCTTTTCATATCTATCTCAAAGCAGTAGTCAATCTCCTCCAGCGGGGTCGACATCAACTTAAAAGAATCATCGCCTAGGGGGAGTAAATATTTTTTAATTAAGTCAATCCCCCCAAAATAATTAATCATGCATATAATTAACCATATATAAATTCATACGTATCTAAATTTGTGTGTTGTTCTTTTTACCCAATATTTTGTCATCTCCAGCCATGAACTTTTCTAGCTCAAAGTCTCGCATCAACGTCGGATTCACGACAATAGCCGCAAATTCTCCGCCATTTCCATCCAAGCCGCTCCACTGCACACCATTTAGGCGGAACAACTCGTCACAATTTTTCACCGGTAGGCAATTACAATCCAGAAACACGAACTGTTGCCCAGCCAGCAAATTATGGAGCTGAATTTTCGCGAGGGTCCGGAATTGCAAATTCTTTACGGATTTCAAATCGCAAACTTTATCCACCTCTCTTTGCAAATAGTAGCTGGAAAAATACATATGTACATTTGTAGAGTAAAACATGTCAGTGCATTCAGCATTGTCCATAAAAACAAATAAGTAATCGACCGTTTCACCTCATCTCTCGACCAACATGATCACTAATAATGACCATGAATGGTCTCGTGGTCAGCGTCCTTTTCAACGCCCTCGCCAAGCCGATACATTTCCAGACTTCTTGGTCGTCGGAAGCGTAGCTCACCCACCACTCGATAAAATTGCAGCCTCCCATAATTTTTAACAATTCTGAAAATTAAGACTCAAAATTGGAAAAATTTTCAAGATGCGGGATCACTGAAATGAGATCACGTGTATTGACGTTTATCGACTGTTGCTACTGCTTGGAAATCCGGGGGTTTATATTATATCGCAGAGTATGAACACGTCGTTTTTAGAATTAGGTTAAAAAGTCTGGATTGTATAAGGAAAAAATCTAACTAAAATTTAATTTAAGACGGAGAAGACTAATAATTAATAATAAAATGTAATATGCATATAAATATATGAGGCCGAGTTACACAAATATGTGGATTCAAGCATGACATAAGTAAATATGTTTAGCACAATAATGGACATGGCATGTACGTTTTGCGCTCCACTGATAAATACGCGTTCATGCATGGAAATGAAGACTGGTGTGAGAATCTTTTCCTTGTCCAGAAGTAATTTCGAAAGATTTTGCATGCAGGATGAACTATTTAAAACGAGGTAAAATAGGTCAACCGTTAATGTTTGGTTTATCGAGGAGGAAAATGCTTGATGGCAACATGTAAGACATTTTTAAACTTTGGTGTTAGAATTAGTGCATACACGGATTTAATTACCTCGTTGTTGCTGATATTTAACTTTTTGGGATTTCTGTTTGGTCTATTTTCTCACTATCAATAAGCTCATGAGTTCCAGTTCTGGTCGACACGGGGTACCCTGGATCCGACCAACTGCGATAAGACTTTTAAGCTTTATGTTTTATAACAATTCTGAAAATTTTCACTCTCAAAATTGGAAAAAGTCTTTAGACGGTTAGTTTATTGAAATTAGATCTGTGTATATTGAAGCTTACAGCATTGCTGTGGCTACCGCTTGGAAATCCAGGATTTATATTACCTCGTAGGATTTTAATACATCACAGTTAGGATTAGCATAAAAAGTCTGGATAAACAATTAAAACCAAAAAATTTTAAGGCGGAACGAGTAATAAAAAATAATCACTCGTAATGAAAAGTAATATTAAAATGTTGCAAATATGTTGGGGCCGTACGTAAAGCATCGATCGATCGTTTTACGGGAATTTTGACCCCCCAGGTGTGACCTATACGCCCAATGGAATAATTGACTTGGGAAGGATAGAATGCCCTGACCCATCACCCATCAAGTGGATCACATGCTTTCTGCACAGTCCCAGTCCGAGTTTCATAAATTTGTGAATTGAAGCATAGAATTAAAATGTTAAGCATCTGGATAATGGACGGACACGCATTCTTGCGTAGAATTGAGACACGTGTAACCAAGTCTTCTTTGTCCAGTAGTAACATTGAAAGATTCTGACGCAATTTCAACGCAAGAATTTCGTATGGAGCGTGAATATTTAAATCTACTTAAAGAAAGATCAAGTTTTCGCATCTGGGTGGAAAGTACGCAACAAGAATGGACACGCCTTCCCGGCTTTGGGAACTTGATAACAATTTTATGTTTCCTGTTGAGCATTAGTGTACATATGTATAGATATAATTGCCTCATTAGTTTCATATACTTGCTTCTTTATGAAGTACAGAGTTCGTAATAATTTAATGGACCTATCAACTTATTTAAATACATACTTTGTAGAATGTGTGTACTGTACGTCAAATCCTGTTTTACTTAAGCAGATTTAAGGAAAAGGAAACATTTTTTTGCCTATTTATGTATGTGCTACTGGAAGTTCATGGCCAAAGATAATAAAATAATAAGTCGAGTAATAATTTGATCAGTGTCTTAATCATGTATGTACATATGCAGCACATACGTACATACATACGTGCTTACATAAGTACGTATCTTAATACCTACATATGTAATATTAATATTAATATTAATATTAATATATTAATATTAATATTAATCCAAATAATACCATTGGAGTAATAAAATATCATGCTCAGTAGATAGATCAAAAACAAAAGACATAAGATGTGCTGTACGTGACCTTACCCCATCTCAAGTTGAAGGAATCAAGATTTTTTTTCTTGAACATATGTATGTATGTATCTATACACTCTTAAAAACGCGGTGTTAATCCTTACCGCGCTGTGATAATGCTTTTCACCTCATGGTGATAAAATTAACATCAACCAGTGACAATTTCTCAGCTGGCGGGCACGATTTATCGCCATAAGGTGAAAAAATATTATCACCACTTGGTGAGGTTATGTATGCACACGGCGATCAACGCTGGGTTGTTAAGAGGGTGTGTAATTAGTGGTTAAGACCCATACAAATTAGTGAAGCAATTCACACAGTCCTTGGTAACATGCATGGTAAAGCAACCTGTAGCGTCACATATTTACATTGTGCTGGCATTGATTTGGGACATATGTAAGAATTTCCTGCCGATTTTGTAATAGTTTTTTTTCAGAATGGTACACATTTCATTACCACCACATTGCTATACTACACCGTAACGCTCGATATTACCGATGCTGTAGAGTCGTACATATGTACTCCGGCCCGTAATAATTTAATACCAGTTGCCTAAGAGTGTGGGGTAAGATGAAGCTTTTCTAATAAATACATACTTACAATGGAACCTTTTTTCATGCTACATACTCCGGGATTGTGTAGCGAGTGATGCTAAAAAATCATGCAAAAAATAGGAATCACACGGCACTTCTCTTTCCGTTGGATGTCCCCTTTGAATTTAAATCTGGAGGGGGCAAAATTCAGAGGAGGGGGACAAAAGGTCCGCCTTTGATTTCGCCCAGCGGAGGATATGTACATAAATTAGTTTAGTGAAACATTGAGCCGTCAATATTTTTCCTCAAAGGGGTCACTCAACGGAAAGGTTAGTGCCAAATAATTATTAATTGTTTGGTCGACTTTTTGCATATAACACACTAGATTATCCCGGTGTATCTAGCTTGAAAAAGGGTTACATTTTTAGAATATTTAAGTAAACAGATTTGAAATTAATTTTTTGCATAGTAACAAACCTCAAACACATTTAGGAAAATCTTCGTAATGCCGTGAATTCTACAGAGGTGCTCAAGTGCTGCATTAAATAAATACATACAT